AGTTGGTTTCCAGCGTGTTCGTGGCCCGTATTGTCGATTTAACGATCGAAGCAAACAAACGAGGCACCAGCCAGCAAGAGCAATATGAAAAAGTCAAGGATATGAGAGAAAGTTGCTCTCAGAGAGTGAGAAGAGCCTTGTACCGAATCAACGTCAACTTACGGTGTCCTTACAGCTCGATTTTCTCAGTCTCAGATGCATTTTTCTTGCCAGATAAATGCAATATGGGGACGCGAACAACTGCGTTAAAATTTAGTTCTTTTCGGGCAAAAATAAGGCAAAAGTACCAATAACTAGCCAGCTTACAACATCGAGGTGTTATCAATATTATGCGTACTATTTATGTTATTGTACGTTTTCATTAAACAAATTTCTTATTAGATCGTTTCTATATTTGTACTAATATCGCCATAATTATATTCGCTATAATTTTTGTAGCCCATCAGAAAATAATAATTATAATAATCATTGTTTTCTGTGAGTAATGTAAGAAAAATGTCAGAGATTTTGGAAATATAATATTATTATTTAAAAGAATGTTAAATCATTAAAAAAGTGTTTTGGCATGTAAACAAAGAATCAAGATACTGATTTCAAATATAAAATTTTTGTATTTTTTAAGTTGAACAATTCGTGTGCTTCCTTTGCAAATTGTACAATTAACATAAATTAATAAAAGTATATCAGTTGTCGAAACATTATTTATCCAAGTCGTCTATTGGTAGATTTGCCTTTTACGAAAAAAAGTAAATTGCCAAACCCCGTTTGAAATGCCATTGATACGAGCCGCAGAGAACACATGAAAATATTTACGCAATATCGCGTTGCAACTTGTTACCGATACGCCGTAGAACGTTAGACGTTTATGGATCGATTTACTTGCTTCAGATTAATGACGCTCGATTTTTGTTCGCGGAATATTATTTTAATGCACGGTGCTAGGCGGTAGGTCTGTCGCTGATAAAGACCGGAACTTTCACGTTTCATCCCCCCTGGGATTTTTCTTTTCACCGATTTTGTAAACACGTGCGCGACACATGTAAGTATGCAGGCACGGTGCCGTTCATTTTACACGAGTAAATATTTGTAGGCGCATCTGGCACGTCGGGACATTTTAACGAGCATGTCTTAGAAATGGTGACGTAAATTCGTGCAAGTGATCGTCATTTAGCCCTTTAGGGGGTGATCCCATTTGGAACCATCTTGGAACGATCTTTGGTACTAAATATTTATCATAATTACAGGTAAATAATCTTGAAATTCTGCAGACATAATTAGTTGTTTAACCCTTTAGGGGTTGATCCCATTTGGAACCATCGATTTTACAACAATCTTTGGTATTAAATATTTATCATAATTACGGATGAATAATCTTGAAATTGCTCAGACATAATTAATTGTTTAACCCTTTAGGGGATGGTCCCATTTGGAACAATCATTTTTACAACAATCTTTGGTATTAAATATTTATCATAATTACAGATGAATAATCTTGAATTTGTGCAGACATAATTAGTTGTTTAACTCTTTAGGGGTTGATCCCATTTGGAACCATCGATTTTAGAACGATCTTTGGTATTAAATATTTATCATAATTATAGTTGAACAATCTTGAAACTGTGCAGACATGATTAGTTACATTTAAAGAGAACATAGATAAAATTTTATACTATTATCCTTATCACCGTTTAAGTAATCGCATGTTTCCTGCAGTATGGTATTTTAAATGGCTGCCACGATTGTATTCACGGGGAAATAAAAAATTGAAAAATGATATCAATCTATAGATTAGTCGAGTAAGGTTGAAGTAAAGAAAAATTTTGTTGATAATATGGTGGTCGTATAAAGAGAAATGTTATAGAATTGTTTGGAGAGCTATTGAGTACAAGTATCAACATACTTCTTAATGATAAATACAGGAAACGTGCAATAACTTTAGTAATAGTAAAGATTATTGTATGAAAATTATACTGTGTGACTTTGAAAAATAGCTAAATACACGAGACATAATAATTCTTCATTTAAAAAGTCTCTGAATGGGAATATGTATGTACTCCCATAACAAGAGAAGTTGGATTAGATAAAGACCTATTGGTTAGTTAATATTCGCAAAGTTGACCATGTCGAAAGCTATTGGTCGACGCTGGTTGTACGCAGTGTGGGTGGAAAGAGAAATTTCCATAATTCTGCATGCTCACTGTCTGCCAAGAGACCTAACGGTTCTTATCGCGGTACAATAGCAATGGAGGCCTGCGCCAAATGGTACTTGCCAACTGTTCTAAGCTCTGTTCAGTTTATTACACGTCCTGCAATAAACTAATTTCTGTTAATCCTAAGTTGTTCTCAAAACATTCTAAATCCCAATAGAAAAATCTTTTATGAAATTTCCACGCAATTGTACACAAGATTCGAGGCTTGAAAACTATTATAATAAAGGTTTAAGTTCTTGAAACAGTATAAAAAAATTTTTATTCTAAATAACTGTTATAAAGAATATCATCCTCAGATTATAGTATTTTAAAAGTTTGTTCAATATCAAGTTAGTTAATTTGTATTACATTGTTATTATAAAATGGAGGACGGATGAAGGTATAGAAATGATAATTTTTCGTAGTAATAATTAGAATAATTCTTTCCTTTTAAATATATTCATAAATTGTTCTAAAAAATATATATTCAAGTTTGAATAGTTTCATTCAATTTAAATTTATTTAATCAAAGATTGCACAGAAATGAATATAAAAAATTAATATAAATAACCCGAGTCACGTATGTTTTTTTGGAATCTAATTGAAACTATATATACAACAGTAACTTGTTTTATCGATTGGAAATAGAAAGATCTTTATTCTTCACTCAATACTCTTTTATATAAGCAATATAGAGAGCTACCTGTGTTATAAGTGGAAAATATTTCTCGTAAAATTACAAAGGCAACGAAGTTAATGATACGAATGATGCTGCTTCTCGGAAATTAAGCTATAGCTAAAACTATAATGGTTTTCAACGAATCCTGGAAGACAAGATCTGCTGGCATTTCCGTTTCGTAGGGTGAAATGTGGTCCTTTCAAGCTTCGTGCATCTGGTCACGTACACACAGAGAAAAAAATATCCATGCAACGTGCCCTTCGCATTTTAAGCAATATTTTTTTTTCGTACATTTTTCAAATAAAAACAAGGTTTACTCAAATATTTTACTATATAATCTATCTAATCCAAATTAATTTTTTTAGTTCCATGGTGAAAAATTTTGTCACCCAAATATGGCTGACGTGGAAATATTTAAAACATTTAGATATTTAAATTAAATATTTTCTAATGCTAGTATACCAATGCTTTTTTCTCTAGAAGTTTTGTTATATTTTTATCATATTTGGTTCATATTTTAAAACTTATACTAAAAACTAAATTGTCAATACTTGCCAATATAAACAATACTTGAGAACAATATTATTAATTAAAATGCAAGGCCCATTGTGTACGAATACTTTTCCCCCAGACTGTACGTAGTCCCAGTGAGAACGCTACGTAAATCGACGAAGTAAAGGCACGTATGTACGAGAAACAACCATACGAAGCAAAAGAATTCGTTCAATGGCTCAAAGTTGAGTCTACTTCGAATGTTTAAAATCGCATTTGATATTGCCATGACCCTCTGCGAGATTGCTTTTTTTTTCCAGCGCCGTTTTAAAATCGAGGTTGAAAAATGCAGAAGAATGGAAGCCGTAGAAAATGAATATTAAAACTCTCTTTAAACTCTGACACGTATTCATTCTGCAAGGCGAAGATTCTAAGAACAAAGTTATGTCTTCCACGACCCAAGGAGTACAAGGGTCCTATGCATGATTCTCTCGACGTACGCAGCGTTCAATTGAATTTAATGATCAAATTAAACCGATTTACTTTCATTACGATATTCGACGCGAAGGAGGGATCGGTCGAGCTGTGGTTTTCGAGAGTTTCGAAGCATACGAGTGATAAAATCGAATGTTTTGGAAACTAATATAACATTATAACAAATTATAATAAAAATTGTTTGTAATAAACAGTAAGAATTTAAAAAATTAAGCCATTTGAATGTTGCAATGTCGACAGCGCCACATTCAAAGTGGAACAAAATGGCGAGAAAAAATCAAACATCTCTTCAGAGTCCGGATGTAAATAATATAGAAAAATTTGTAGTCGTAAAATATTAATGGAAAGTATATAAAATCGGTGGAAAAATTATAATAAATTTTCAAGATGAATCGACTTGATTTTAATAAATTTATAAATGAAGATTCAAACACTTATGTCACCGACTGTATACAGAAATCGGTTTCCTGATTCTCGCGTTGCTGATATGTTGAGACGCATGAAGAATTATAATAGTAGTTATAAACCTGATTCATGTAAAATAGTCAAAAGTTTGTCTTAATTTGAATACACATTTGATACACTACAATTTTGAATTTTTTTTTATATTGCAGTATACTATGTTATGGCCTGTAAATTATATTTGAAAAAATAAAACGCATAAAAAGAATCTTTTCTTTTATCGTTCATATTTTTATCGCTTCTGGAATGTGGTAATTTAGGCTCGATATACGTACATTACATAAATTTTGGGACTACTATTTTTGGGACCTTGTTATAGGCATTATGTTGTTTAAAAATAAAGAAATTAGAAATACTACCGTTGGCCATTGTACGAGCAACAGTTGTAAGTAAATCAGTAAAAAATAAGCAAAAGGGAGACCCCGAACGGACAACCGGTAGTCATCGTGGAACGCAGGAGTATACGCTATGCAAGCAGAGTATAGAGTGTATAATGCAGACATAAAGGGGGGAGTTTGAAACAGCCGTCGGTCCCCCACCGTTTCGATCCCCACCTTCTGGGCCCTCTCCTACTCGTTTGCTCGTTTCTACTCCAGCAGTTCCCCTAACCCATCGAAAGAGTTTCCCTCTCGCCCCCCGGCCGAACAACAAGCCACTAACTTCTCGTCAGTCGACGTTGAAGAGAGTGCTACGTGCGTACGTGTGTATGTCGTCAGAATTTTGTGTTCGGCGACCAGCAGCTCGTTCGTATCATCCAGCCAGCGACGATAGCGAGAGGAGAAAAAAAAAGAAGAGTGTCGCGCGGCGAAAGAGATAAATTCGCAACGCCATCGGGGTCCAGGAGTTGCACAACTTCGCGTCACGGATTGACAGCGGAGCGTCGTGGCGGACACGAAGCGGCGAATGTTCGTCGCGCGTTTCCATAGAGATCGTGGAAAAGAAAGACGTGCGTCGCTGGCGGTTTCGGCCACCTGCTGCTGCTGCTGCTGCTGCTGCTGCGAAGAATCACGTGGGAAAAAAAGGCGCGCGCTGTATCGGTCGGTTCAGTTGTTTAAAATCCGTACGCGCCTGAACGTCGCGTCGTGCCCGCGCAGAATCGATCGATCGCCGAACGATGCACGCACGTCACGTGTGTTTTGTCAACGCGTCGTCGCGGAATTGAATTTTCACGCAACGAGGCAACGAGGGATCTAGCGGCGGTTCGCGATCCCGTGCAACGTGGTTCGGTGACCGATCACGGTTGTGCGCGCGCTCTCTTCGCCTCGACGAGAGAGGAAAAAAAAAAACAGAAAGCCAGCGAGGAGTAGGGCGGGAAGATAAGGAAGAAGGACCCCGAAGGAGAAAGAGGAAAGGAAAAGGAGGCAGGCACGCCGCGTGGACACGGCCGTGTACGATTCTCCGTGTCACTTTAGTATCGTTTTACCGCTTTTCGTGCCGGAAACCACGGTTCTCCTATATTCTCCTTTTCGGATCGATCGCGGTTTGAACAGTCGATTGAACACGACACGATTATTATCGAAAGAAAACAATCATGTACAAGCTACTGGGGGATCTCGGTCAGTACCTGAAATGGCAGGAAGTCACGACCGATTCTATGGTGTTTCGGTTGCACACCCACTTCACGACAGTGCTACTTTTCACGTGCTCGATAGTGATCACGGCCACCCAATACGTCGGTAATCCGATCTCCTGTATCGTCCAGGGTTTACCCACTCATCCTATCAACACTTATTGCTGGATAACGTCTACCTTCACTATGCCGGACGCGTTCAATCGACAGGTGGGTAATCTCGTTTCACCCTTCGCGATCCTAAACAGTTTTGATAATTCGTTTCAGATGATCCACCCACGGTTTAGCTGAAGATACTTCCATTCATGTTCGTGTACTATGCGCGCGTTTAACTCTTCGCGGCACGGGATTTCAGATAATAAAATAGAGACCCACGTTGCATAGAAATTTTATTGCGTTTTAAATTAAACAAAAGTGGTATGAAGGGTATCACATAATGTAAAAAAATAAACAAAAATAGTAATGACGCAATAAACCTTCCGTTTGCAACAATTGATGAACTTGTATTGGCATGTTGAATATTGCCAACACAAGTGAATACATTTGTAACATTTGTTGAAGATATTACCGACTGTTTTACGTAAATAGTTATTGCAATATTTCGAAGTGGAACTAAAAATGTCCCACCATGCATTACGGTGTACCAAAAAGGTGGGACACTTTTAATCTCAGCGTGCCCCAAAGAGTTAAGGAGGTTTAAATGTCATTTTTGGAAATTACATTGATTAATTTATTGCTTATAAGATTTTGTTTGTGACTCAATCTTGCACCGCTGTTAATCGTAATCGTAACAATTTTGAATTTTAATATTTTGCTCATCGACCTTTAGCAATTATAACAGCTGTATTTTGTTGTGGTGTACAGTTATCCCCCGGAAGTACGCGGATGTTCAGGACGCCGACCCCCCTTCTCCCTCCACTTTAAATCTTAACCAAAAACCATAAGACAAGAATTACAGGCAAATCATACGTATAATTATTATATTTTGTCACGATTCTTCTTTCACATTTTATTTCAATTTCAATTGATGTATCATTGAAGGATCTACATATGTCGTAAGAAAGTTACACAATGTCGTCATTTGTAATGGCGGATGGACTGCGACTTTGGAGAACGCGACGACTAGAAAGATCGCGAAAAAAACCACGTACAAACGAAACCTCGTACTTCGAGGGATAACTATACTTTAAATTAGATTTTCACATAACTTTTCTAAGATCAAACACCATTGTTCTTAAACTAGTTCCCATAACTGATGTAACGAAGACTGTAGGGTATAACATGTATCTTGCAATTGTCTCTTTTAGTATTATGCATGAATTTTATGTGGGGTCCTCGAAAAATAATTGTTATTGACCCCCGCAACCAAACATAATTTTTCTAGAACGATTTGAAATTTTTCTTTTTCGTCGAAAAGTTTAGGCATCTTCTTGAATTTTTTTCTCGAAAGTGCGTAGGATTTCGGGAGTATGTGTAATGACCAAAAATGATTGTAATCGAACCCTTCAACCGAAAATAATTTTTTTAGAATGATTTGAAAAATTTTTTTTTCGCCAAAAAATTTTATATTTCAGCACCTACTCGAATTTTTTTCTCGAAAGTGGGTAGGATTTCGGGGGTATGTCTGTTCACCAAAAATGATTGTAATAGGGCCCTTCAACCGAAAATAATTTTTTCAGATTGATTAGAAACTTTTTAATTTAATTTTTTAATAACTTACTAACTCATTAACGAAGCCTCAGTCAAGAAATTGGTATTCTTGATTTTCGTCTTATTTTGGTCTCCAGAATCTCCCATTACAATTTTTCCCACCTCTATTTGCTGTGGAAAATCACTTCAAGGTATAGAAATTACCCTTTAAATATTCATCTATTTCGAATTTTATTATTACTATAAATTGTCACTGACTCATAAACAAAGAACTTGCGAAGAGAATTATGTATGCATACTTTTTTTCTCACCGATTTCCTTACTTTGTTCGAGATTTCAGATTTGTCTGTTATATTTTTAATTGAGTCATATACTGTTTAAAAGCTGCATTAATTTTTTAATTTCCTAGGTTCCTTTCATAGCCTACCGGACTTCCATAATTAAAATTATTGTTATTTAAACGTAGACGCGATTCGTAAAAACTGTAACACAGCTAAGATGGAATAAATTTAATTAACAAATATTTTTTATTTTTGTTGCAGGTCGGTCTGGAAGTCGCTCATCCAGGAGTGGCGAACGACTTCGGTGACGTTGACGCGAGGAAATATTACACGTACTACCAATGGGTGTGCTTCGTGTTGTTCTTCCAGGTAAGGGCTCGTTTGTCAGTAATCTCGTGCGCGCGACCGATAAACTCGGGGACAGCTGCGCTTTTGGTTTGTTTTACCAGCCTCCTATTTCACCTATCGCGCTGTATATCCGAACCCCGTTCGCGTGAATGCTCGAGCGCGAAAGATTAAACGCGTAACTTTAGCACGGCCGATAATACAACTTATGCAAGCGATAATTATATCGCCTTTTATTTCTGTCGAGAAATACCGGGGATCGGAAACAATTACGATATTGACTCCGATTACAAAACGTTTAGAAGAACAGAAACGATAGTTCGACGGTTTTGGCCTATATCAGTTACAGTTACGGTTATATCTGCTATTATTGGGTTGGCTGATAAGTAATGGATTTCTGCAGTGGATGATGATTGTTGTTTTTCTTTTTGTTTTATTCTCTCAATGAAAAGGAGCATTCTGATTGGACGATTTTAATATTTCAAAAAGTAATCAACGCGTATTTTAGCGAAGAATATGTAGAGATTCTAAAAATATTGGAAAAGTTGCTCCTTGACCCCCGTAAAATGAGAAAAACACCATAAAAGTGGTCCAATTTTCAAACGGCCATAACTCCTACAATAGTGAACGTATCTCATTGAAATTTTTTTCTGAAGTAGAACTCATACATAGCTACAAAAAAGTACTAAACAACTTTTCTATAGGGTGTTAAACAAATTTTTAAGAAAAATCAACAAGGGGGGGTAGGTGCCTAAAAAAAAAAATTCAAATCGTTCTGGAAAAATTATTTTCGGTTGCGGGGGTCACTTGCAATAATTTTTGGTGAATAAACCTACCCCCGAAATCCTACCCATTTTCTAGAAAAAAATTCAGTACATGCGGAACTTTAAATGTTAATAACTTTTTAACGAAGCCTCCATCAACAAATTGGTATTCTTGATTTTCGTCTTATTTTGGCCTCTAGAATCTCCCATTAAAACAGTCAACTCGCTAATAACCAAGCAGTTTATGCGACTGTAAATCCTAATGAAAAAAAAGGCACCTGAAAATATTAAACAACGAATTCGCGAAGCGTGCATTATGCTCGATGCAGATACAATTCAAAGTGCCGTTTCCTCTTTGGTTAACAGATTGCATCTTTGCATTGATGTCAATCGTGCATCATTTTGAACATCCACGTTAATTGTTGTGGATCTAAATCACTATGTTGATAAACATTGTCACGTAAAACCGCCGCTCTGCGGAAGTCCTACGATATCTTTGAGTTCGTAACTTTGGTGTGACGCGCGTAGGAAATTTTTGAGAAACGAAATTATGTTAATTACGTGTTAATTATTAAGTTTGGGACTAATAAAGGCTAGTACTTTTATAGACTGCTACTTTCAGCCTACTAACAAAGGAACGTTGTTTTTTTATTAAAAAGGTACGAGTGCTTTTAAACTTTTGGGCAAATTATTAAATTATTAAATTAAATTTCACGTGCAATTCAATTACAAGTCGTTTCTCAAATGTACGCTATTTAATTTTATTTCAATTTGTTCATATATGCAATGCTTAGAAAAAAGAACAAATTTGGCAAGAAGTTAATAAAAGTTCCTGTATTAAAAAAAAAAAAAAAATGGTTTCTGTTTCTTATTGAAAATTCTGTTACTTTTCGACCAACCCAATAAATCCAACTCTTTACGCATACTTCGTGCCTCTGAAATTCTGCATGATTTACATGATATGTATATTTTAACAGGCAGTATTCTGCTACGTGCCACAATGGTTGTGGAATATGTGGGAGGGTGGTTTGATCAACGCGTTGGTAATGGGTATGAATTACAGCCTCGATCACAAGAAGAACATCGACCAAAAGAGGGCTATATTAATAGAGTACATCATAAATCATAAGCAGGTAAGCGTATAAGTTGAACGTTGCTTTAATCAAGAAAGTACGAAACCGTGGAAACTGTAAGATTTGTGTAGCTGAACCGACGATTTCTTTTTTTTCCTTTTTACTACGATTTGTTGTGGTCACGGGCTTCCTCTTATCATGAAGTTAGAAATTAATTCGGTGCCTTTATATTACATCATTTACAACTCCGATTTAAATGTGAATAGTCTGATGTAACAAGTTTGTTAAAACAAGAGACATATCATATTATCATCAAACATTAATAAACATGGCGTTCGACAGAACTCGCATTAGACATAATGTTTGCCTTTCAATTAAAAAAAAAACGCAACCAAAGCAGTAGAAATGATTCGTTCCGCTTTGAACATATAGTAAGTATATTATTTCGGTATTGCGTTTAAGTAATGGTAACAAGAGTCTTTAGGATATATTCTAAATTCCATAGTTTTTTTATTCCTGTCTCTTATCTTTGCCTCGTTCCAAGATTGACCGTCTGATATTCCTAAAGCTGCGTCCCCACTGGATCGGCACGGCTCGGCATTTGCCGATAGCTGCGTCCCCACTGGGTCGGCACGGCTCGGCATTTGCCGATCGGCACAGCGTTCGGCAAAAGGCGGCACGGCCGTGCCACTGCTATGCACCGCGGCAAAGCCATTTCAGTACACAAAAAATGTACAGTGACGACGAAGTAATAACTGGTGCTGCTGCAGTTATAGTAATAGCAAATGCAAAAAAAATGCCTAAAAAACGAAGATTTTGGATGCGTCCGAGTTTACGTAGCAGAAGAATATACAGGGTGTTCGGCCACCTCTAGCAAAAATTTTAATGAGCGATAGTAGAGGCCAAAATAAGACGAAAATCAAGAATACTAATTTGTTGATGGAAGCTTTGTTAAAAAGTTATTAACAATTAAATTCAAAAATTTCAAATCGTTCTGGAAAAATTATTTTCGGTTGCGGGGGTCAACTACAATCATTTTTGGTGAGTACACATACCTCCGAAATCCTATCTACTTTCGAGAAAAAAAATCGAGTAGGTGCTGAAATTTTTCGGCGAAAAAAAATTTTTCAAATCGTTCTAAAAAAATTATTTTCGGTTGCGGGGATCAATTACAATCATTTTTATCATTACACATACCTCCAAAATCGTACGCACTTTCGAGAAAAAAATTCCTTACTGAAAATCCAATTAGGTGTCTAAATTTTTCAACGGAGAAAAAAAATTGCAAATCGTTGTGTATAGCCATAAAACAGCTGTCAAACACGCGCGGCCACTCGTCGCGTCCTAATCCGGAGTCCCGTTTTTTCTTCGATAAATTAACGTAGCCTTCGACTTGGGGAGAAAACCTCGGGCACCCTCGTTCTGGGGGTGACCTGGAAGTCTTCCTCCACCACGTTCAGGTATGAGGAAAGAGTTTTCCTCCCAAACGGGGTGTGAAAATGGGTCCTCCTTCCCTTAGTCGATGACCAATCGGTCGAGCTAAAAGTTAATACCAAATTCGGTTGACACCCCCAAAATCGCGTATCGGAGGAAGAAACGGGCTCCGGAAACATCGACTATGCAAAAATATGGGCACGAGGAAAAAATCTTTCGCCTATGACCATATTTGGTTACAAGACGGGGCTTTATGGCCCTGCCTGGGCCTTTCAGAACTGGAGGTAGCAATCGTCGCGCTGTGAAATTTTCCGTTCGATCGCGAAAGAATACCAATTTGTTGATGGAGGCTTTGTTAAAAAGTTATTAACGTTTAAAGTTCCTGTATCTTTGTATCTCGATGATGGTTTTGGAACGAAATTGACATGAAACTTTCGTGCTCTCGTGTCTTGGCACGATCTCTTTTGATGGTTACCGACATCGTGCCGATCGACTCGTCGGCATGCCGGTCGGCTTTTCAAGCCATGCTATCCAAGACGATGCAGTGTTTGGCTTTGCCGAGAAGTACTTAGGGTGCCGATCGGCCGTGCTAGATGACAGATGCGGACGCAGTGTAGACGCAATTCTCGGCTTTTGCCGATCGGCCGTGCCGAACGGCAAAAGCCGACCCAGTGGGGACGCGGCTTAACAGTAAAATTGTCTAAAGTCACGTATACAGTAATGATTCTTACGACATAGATCGATCCGGAGTTACTAAGAGTTCACATTTCAAACGACAGAGGCGAAATTCGACACCGGCAGATATTTATACACAGCGATATCGTTAAGCCTCGGAGTCACTTTTATCTTTTGCCGACGGCCGTAGTCGACAGCCGAAGAAAAGGACTAGTGAGAACGAACGAGAAAAAAAGGTCTTCCGTACGAATCGTCGTCGGCAACTTAGCTCGTGTCGTTTTTTGAATAACGACTTTCACGATTCACTGGCTTCAAGATGGGGCCCCAGTTGGGAGGGGCAAAAATATTCATTCTGGGGTTCATTTTAAGAATCATTACTGTATAATACGAGGTGTCCGACCAACCCTGGGAAAAATTTTAATAGCAGATTCTAGAGTCCAAAATAAGATGTATTTGTTAAAAAATTATTAAAAAATTAAATTACAAAATTTCAAATCGTTTAAAAAAAATTATATTTAGTTACGGGGATCAATTACAATCATTTTTGGTCATTACACAGACCCCTGAAATCCTACCCATTTTCGAGAAAAAAATTCGGGTATGTGCTGATATATTAAATTTTTCGGCGAAAAAGAAATTTTTCAAATCGTTCTAAAAAAATTATATACGATTGCAGGGGTCGATTACAATCATTTTTGGTCATTACACAGACCCCCGAAATCCTACCCAGTTTCGAGAAAAAAATTCGGGTAGATGCTGAGATATGAAATTTTTCGGCGAAAAAGAAATTTTTCAAATCGTTCTAAAAAAATTATATTCGATTGCAGGGGTCGATTACAATTATTTTTGGTGTATACACATACCCCTGAAATCCTACGCATTTTCGAGAAAAAAATTCCTTACCGAAAATCTAATGTGAGGTTAGAAATGTTGCCCGAAAATTTCATGGGAATCTTTAAAATGTCATAACTTGCCCTGCAACCAAAAACAATTTTTTCAGAATGATTTGAAATTTTTTAATTTAATTTTTTATTAACTTTTTAACGAAGCCTAAATTAGGAAATTGATATCCTTGATTTTCGTCTTATTTTGGCCTCTAGAATCTCCCATTAAAATTTGTCTCCAGGGTTGGTCGAAAACGTAGAACTGTCCCCTTCATACCTTCTACTTTACTTTATTTCTTTGTTATTAGTTCGACGAACGCATTGACAAGAAAGTTGGGGAACAGATTATTTTTGTATCAACTATGACGCCTGTTTTCTCCGGGCGGGAAAAAAAGATATGCATTTTCAAACGTTGGGAGAGGTGCAAAAAAGCATCGAAACCGCCATCTATCTTTCATCGAAAGTAATGGCGGTTATTACTATGAATAAAATACATACATCTTTTTCTTTTTGAATAAACGATAAACTTTTTGAAAAATAGGCACCAAATTAATTTCTAGACCTAATACGAGAACAGATTTATTATAACTGTTATTGTATATTGTTTTTAGGTCGTGATAGAATAAAGGCCTGTAAGAGTAAAAGTGTAAAAGAGTTAAGAGGAAGGCTGAGACGGTTGCGATAGATCCAATTTGCTCTCATTGAGTTCAATTCGTGCTAATTCAGTGACTGTTTGTTCTTTCAGACTCACAGCATGTACGTGTACCGGTACTTCATATGTGAAGTCCTGTGCCTGTTGAATATTTTCTTTCAAATGTACCTGATGAATCGGTTCTTCGACGGCGAATTCCTCAGCTACGGACTGCGCGTGCTGCAATTCACAGACGTTCCCCAAGAAGAGCGTATCGACCCAATGGTATACGTGTTCCCACGCGTCACTAAATGTATCTTCCATAAGTATGGTGCATCGGGAACGATACAGAAGCACGACTCCCTCTGTATTCTGCCATTGAACATCGTCAACGAGAAGACCTACATCTTCATCTGGTTTTGGTTCACGATTCTCTCGATCCTCCTACTGGGATTGGTGGTTTACAGAGCTGCAATCGTCTTTGCTCCAGTAATTAGGCCAAAATTGCTACAGCTGTCCGCGCGATTGGTCAAGGAAGACATTTGCTATAGTATCAGCAAGAAAACCGATCTCGGTGACTGGTGGCTCCTCTATGTCCTTTCGGCCAACATGAACTCGAAAATCTATAGGGAGTTCTTGAAGGAGCTCTCTACCGAAATGAGTGACACGCCATCTGTTGCCCCGTAGCATTAATATTTTCAAAGAATTTTAAGTAAAAGACATCGACGAGGACTGACACGAGTTTCCCTGCACAGGGTGTCTCTGAAAATTCTGTACAACCGAGCACCAGATGATTCCTTGCAAAACAAACGTAGAATAACTTCTTTTCGTTCGAGGCTTAGTTCTCAAGACAATCGACAGTTTTCTTTACTCTTGTCTATCGTTGGACACACCGTGTGATGGTTTTAATGGGTTTGTAATTGATATGATAGAATATTTTTTGTGCATTTTCATGAATCCAGTAACTTGTAAATGCTGCACATACATTATGTATAAACACGATAATCGTTACAAGTTTGTAAATTTATTCTTAAATTATGATTCGTTAACCAAGTGATATGATAAAGCTTGTCGTTTAAATTTTAATTACTTTCGACGGAGTTACATTCTTGAGAATTAAGTCGAAAACTAAATAAAGTTATTCTATATTTTCTTCTAATAAGCAATCATTCGATGCACGTAACTTTCCCAGTCACCCTGTACGGTTCGTTATATTCTGTCTTTCAAAGAACTAAACGAGAATATCGACCTATTGTATTCGTAGAAATCATCACGTTACATTACAGCAGCTTAGCAAAATATTTTCACGCCTAGCGTAAAACAATTGACATATGTACGACTGATATAGAACGCTCAAGACACGCGATGATACTCTAATAACGCACAAGTGAACACTTCAGGATCTCTATATGCGCGTACGTGAATGTGTGCATGAGCGAGTGCATGTGCCAGCGCGAATCCCATTGTTTTTTCTTAACGATTCTCTAAAAAATCGTTCTTATACTTCATTAGTAATAGTTTCCCAAAGCAAAAAACTGTTTCACGTTGAGAATTATTGCTCAAAGCAATTCAGCGCCGCGTTTCTGTTTTCCAGAATAGTGATAAAGAAATTCTCGAACGTGTTGAAGCAGAAATACCCGTGTAACATTTTTCTACAATGAGATCATCGTAATTTTTAATCTATCGATCGTCATTGTAAACCGCGCACTGCCCGCGAGAAATTTTTTATTTTCTTATATTCCTACACAGCGTATTCAGACGGCGTTAGTAAATATTACCGAAGCCAATAATGATGCGTACAACGACGCCCATGCATATTGGGGCACTTGGTTGAAACGTTCTCGATCTTCCGAAATATCATAACCTCTTTCACGTTCCTGAGTTAAATTTTCTTGGGAGATTCTTTCAGGTCCGAATCTATTCGTTCAAATAATAAAATAAATGTTCACAAATACCTGACGTAAAAATTATTGCTAATGTTGTGCAAATTATATTTGCTAATGTTTTTTTAATAAGTTGGTTTCAACGTACGTACATTACCGTTCAAACGTTTGATGGAAGAAGTCACACTTTTTAATATAACATTTTTTTTATTAATAGATTGAAAGTAACCGCTTGTAAAGAAGACTTATATCACATATTTTAATTTAAATTCTGAAGAATTTTTAAATTTTAGAAACAAAGTATTTTGAGAAATTAGCGAATGGCAAAATTAATAAGGCAAACAGGGATTCCAGTCTTTTAATTAATTTTGTGTGTACAGTATAAACTGTTACGGTATAGAATACTTTAATTGTAATAAAATACTTGATTTTGCAATGCTCAACTGATTGCAAACTTTTGAACGGTAGTGTATATAAATGATTTACGGGGAAAAAACTGGTATTCAATGACACAATTTTCAAGGACAACGCTTTCCCCTTCAAAAGTATACGTAAGTTTCACTATCCTTCCACTTTTCTTACCAAGGCCTTCAATCATTTTTTCACGCTACGAAGCGAGTAAAAAAGCGTATGTGATTTTACTCTAAAAAAATACTTCGAACTCAAATTTTGTACCAACCTAAAATTACCATGAATTTAAAGATTAACGACCTCTTCGAAAGTTGATGTGTAATTTTTTTTCGCCATTTTATATCACTTTGAATGTGATACGTACCGTCACCATTACTCATAACTAGACTGCGGATGTTTATGCATTTATGGGAAATTTTAATCCTCAAAAAACTACAGAATGCATTTAATATGCAAAAATATAAGAAATACTTAAAGTAAGTTACGAATTATTATATTTACGGGTTGAGACAGCCCTCTGCGAAGCTTCCGTTACATTAATTTTATTAATAAAAATGTGAATTTGCATAAAGATCCGCAGTCTACTCATAACTATTGAAACACACTTATTATATCAAAATACATGTTTAACTCCTTAATTGCTCAATCAAATAAAAGTGATTAAAATTCTCTAATAAATTTTCATCGTGTTTCGATATTATTTCTTATAGAGATACATTCTATACGTATTTCGTTCAAAGTGAAATAAAATGGCGGTAAAAAATTTGATTTCTTTTCACGATGTTACAATAATCGAAAGATCGACAACGTTTCGCAAGTGTCCTAATAATTATGAGCGACTGAGTGTTTTTTGATATCAGTTTTATAAGTTTCTTATATTTCTGAATGCATTTTACGTTTCAATATTTTACGAATAAGTTTCTACGTGATCTGGTAGTCGAATACACAAATATGCATGAGTTTTTTTTTTGTGAGGTAGACCAACATTTTGTACTAAATATTTGTCCATTTGTGTTCCATTGATGCGTAAATATGTGATAAAGAAAGTGTATTTAATGTTATAAATCTTCCAACAGCGTTTTAGTCGGGGCTCTGCTTTTTCTTAACAAATATTCGGTGTCTGTGCCGGTATATTAATGTATAAGCGTTAAACGAACTGTATGATATCCAATGTTTTCTCGCGAGAAATAAGTACTAACATCGAGTCGAGTTTTAACGGTACTATCTCTGTAGATGATTAATGAGTACGAGTAAGAAGAGAAGTAGAGGTAAATTACTGGCTCATTTAAGTTGGCAATATATTTAACTATTATAAAAATACTAAATGAACGAGCATTTAATGTATGTACCTTATTCAGCCCATTCTTTTTCAACGACTAATCGTAACTAAGTATAAAGTTTTCTTTTGTCAAATATTACTTATATGCGTGTGTTTTCATGTCTTGTGTTTCATTTGTAATTTTCTGTTTAGAATTTGTTCTTTAGAAACTTTAGATCTAGGTTCAACAATTTCAAAGAGTAAGTTGATGACAACATAAACAAGATAAATTTTTACGTTTTATTTCTCCTTTATATTAGTATAATAGTATTTAAAAATGAAGCTATCGAACTAATTGAAAACAAAATATTATTCTTAATTTTGATTGCAGATAATGGCAAAGTAGTGGATTGTTGTGAGAATCGAGGACAAACGAAAGGATCGAGCTCTTTCGTATCACAAAGCGAATGACTCAAGTCTGCAATAAAATTGAATGCAGTAATCGGATGACATGTTTATTTTTATGCCAGCTTTTCCAGATATTCTGCAAGACGACGTCAACGATGGTGTTACAATTTTCGAGCAATTTAATCATACATATATACACTGTTGTTTACAAGTTTATAAGCATAGTTTTCAGTAAAACATGATATTCCACTATTGATAGATTGAAATTAAATTTTGATCAGTTTCCATATAAAATTCCTTTTCTTAACCTCATCTCTAAAAAGTTTTTTATTTTTTTTAATACTGTTTCTATGCATGTTCTGTTCTTTCTTCGTTTAGACAAAAGAATTTTGTAAATTATGTTTTAGATTTTGAATTAAATACAAAATATTTTTAAAAACTTTATGAACAGAATGTCAAGTATTTGTTTGGTAGTTTATGTTATGTATAATATGTAATAAAACATCTGTAATGTAAGTTTTAAATATTTTACTGCTACAAAGCTTTTCAACAATAGTGTAATACGAATTTTCAAAACCTCAGAAGTATTTTTTTTAGCCTCTTATAAACAAATAGTAAAAGTTGGAGGAGAACAATGGAAGATGCAATAAATAAGACCTATTTATTCGTTTCCCTTCTTTTTATTCGTTACTATACATATTTAAATATTAAAGAAAGAGATAACTTTAATATTATTACATTAGAAAATTACATTAAATTAACATCTTCTTGTCTTCTAATTGTGATCAAATTCTGTTCGAATGAAGAATATTTTATCTGTACTCAATACTTTGGTATTATTACATTTCGTCACTACTACTAATATACAGTTAAAAACATTTTGCACATGAAATTTGAAAAAAAAAAAAAAAAAGATACCTTGGATCACAATCGACTTATTTTAATATTGTAAGAATGAAATCTCGATCAGTGAGTGTAATGTAGATAATGGTTGGTCAGAATTACTACTTTCAGTCTGATTCTGATCCTGAACTGGCATCCGAGTCATATTCTCCTACATTTATGGTAAATTTATATTCTTGATCGCATCCCAAATAGGCATCACTCATAAAATACAAAGTATAGGAATGTTGTCCAGGCGCGGGCGCAACAAAATCAAGTTTAACTTTCGCCTTTTGTTGCAGCGTTAATCTCTTGATAGACAGCAAAGAATTGGTCTTCGGATCGCCTATAACAACCCACCAACCTTCCTCGCGTTTTTGTGGGAAGAATGGCGCCACAACTGGTCCAGTAACTTCATCTTCTCTTTCGAGTTGAACGATAACATTGACTGTACCACCGCTACGCAATTTATCCTTCTCCTGGACCTCGTAGGACATTTCTATATTAGGATAACGATTACAGAACTTAGCGACATCCGCCATTTGTATTTCAGATAGCTGCAGAAGGCGATTTCTGTCATCGTCCTCGAGTTCCATTACGTCGAACACGGTTTCCACACCTTTGTCCGTGCAACGTTTGATAGTTTCGGACGTGAAATGTGGCAACTGTTTCAAATAGGAATCTTTCGACCACATCGCTTGCGTGACCATTTGCGCCAATTCCATAGCAGCAACCGCAGGCGCCAGCCAACCGGACGAGCTAAGAACATCGACGCAAGCTTGTATCAGCCTGACAGCCTTGCTCAACACTAACTCCGTGTCTTTTTGTAGCTCCGGACCAAGTTGTATCCTGGACAAGTGCGCCTGCAACAAAAGCTGCGCCTTCACGTGAGGATCGGCCATTCTGGTAGCTTGAGGAGCGTGTGGAAGGCGGGCCGCCAAACTCCTCAAGAGATTTTCTTCCCTTTGCCGAACGGGAACAGTCTCGTATTCAGCAGCCGCTGAAATGATCTCCAGCAAACCTCTGATCTTAGTTTTATTATTCAAAGAAAGGCTGAACAATTCGATCGTCGCGTAATTAATGTAATAATAAGCAGCGATCATTCCAAGATTCAAAGGCAAGGTGTCCATCTCGTCTTCGACGGCGACGCATTTCGCTTGCTCAAGATCGCTCAGTGTGCTTTCGACCAATTCAGACAAATGGTCCGACAAGTGTCTATGCGTAACGCCTTGCAATCCGTAATAATTTGGATTCTCCGTGAGCCGCCTGTACAAGAAAGTCCAGGTAAGATAGTCGACAGCGTCCTGTTTATTTTCAATCGTCTTTGTCACGATTTCAGCATTGAAGTGATCGTGTAATCTGTGGTCCAGATGGCTCTCCACGGGCAACGGTTCGTTCAAGAATTTCTTGAAGAAGTCTTTCTTCGAGCTCTGACAGAGGAGGATACATTTAGCATCGTCGTCTTCTAATGGACGATTCGCACGCGCCACCATTTGCAGAACATCGGTAATAGGATAATCCTCGTATGTGTGTGTTTTCCCGTTGTAACACTGAGTGTCCATAACAACGACAAGGTGAGAACTAATGGATAAGTCCCAACATAGGTCACGCGTGACGACTGCTATTTGGATAGCGCCGCTATCGAAGAGCTGCTCGACCAGACGCCGATCATCCGCGGATAATCCTTCGTGAAGGTAAGCAGCTCCTTGGGAGAGCGTTTCCTTTAACGTCTTGTCGGTCATTCTGTCCAAGAACGGTTTGATGTCGACTTCTTCCGCGTGGAAGAATCGAGACGGCTGCCCCTCGGCCGCCGTGAACGTCAATAAATCGATGGCCGTTAATCTGGCTTGACGACGAGTAGGCACGAAAACGATTACTGGTTTGTGGGAGGCGTAACGAAGTATCGCGTTGTACACCGGTTTCGCCATAGCGGCCAACCTGGACGCGTTGTGAGTAATATTTATCCCTTGCACGTGTAACTCCAAAGGCACAGGCCTGACCGACGGATGAAAGTTGAAGGTTGCAGCGGCTGGCGCGCCCAACCATTGAGCCGCATCTTTTGCATCCGCGAGTGAAGCTGACAACGCTATAATCCTGGTCGGTTTGTCCAGTTGCGAGGAGATATAACGCGCCCTTGAACACGCTACCTCCAGCACAGGCCCTTCTTCACCACCGATCAATTGGAGCTCGTCGACGATGAACAGTTGAATGTTTTGTACATTTTTTCTTTGCTTCCATCTTCGAGATAACACGTCCCATTTGTCCGCGGTTGTGATAATGATCTGTCCCTTGGCGAGCAATTTAAGATCTGTTCCCGTTTCCCCGGTCAGCAGAACCACCTTTCTGCCCAACTGCTGATTGAATTTTATCGACCAGTCGGTGTACACTAATTCCGCCAAAGCCTCTTTGCTGACCATGTACACGCATCTGCCTTCGGGGTTCTGACTGAGCAAACGCAACACCGCGAACTCCGCGATGGTGGTCTTCCCCGAGCCCGTGGGCGCGCCCACGAAAACGTTATCGTCCGAATTGTACACAGCGTTGAACACCTGCGTTTGAATCGGATTGAACTGCGGGAACTTGTCCGTGTAGATGTTCTCGAACTTGGAGTTACGCAACGCGGTGACTGGAAGCGGTTGCAAATCGAGCAGCTCGGTGGGCGGCAGGTTCTTCTCTGGTAAAATTAAATGGCGAAAGCTGACGGGCAACTGGGTCTCCGCTCCGATCCACCTGTCCGACACGACCCGTAGAAAATATTGGGGCGGCAATGGCTCGAACACCGGCACGAAGAATTTTATCAAATGCTCGTCCGCCGCGTACTTAGCTTTCAACAGGAAATATTCGTGGTGAAGTATCACTTCGGAGTCCACGTCTTCGACCAAGATCCAGAATGCTTCCGACGCACCGTGTACTTTCTCGTCCCACTGGAAATCAGGCGTGATTGTTAACTCGACCCTTAAAGTGGAACGCGTTATCGGTTGAATATGCGTCGACAGTTCCAGCTTTGGGAATTGATGTATATATTTGTGGATCGTTTTACCGAGTTTCGGCACCCGAATCAACTCACCAATCTCGTTCGGTCCGAGATCGTACAGTCTCTCCCACGGGAAGTTCTTCTTTTCTATCTTCTTCACGATCTCTTCGGGCATCTTTCTGAACTGCCTCAGAGGCGACATCGACTGCCACATTCTACGATCGATCATTTTGCACAACGATAAACACTTGTCGGCCAGCTGCGCCCAACCGCGGAACAATACTATTTCAAATATTGCTCTCATCAATCGGGACGCGGACTGAGTAACGAACACCATGTCGGACATGAGAGCGAAACCTTCGAGCTTCAATTGAGAGATGTACGCTTGCAAAAGTACATTGACTTTCGCGCTAGGTTCCTCTATGCTTTCTTTCACCGGGATGGGCACCCTCTCCATCAATTTCTGCAATTCCAATTTCTCTTCTTCCCTGACGTTTATGTGCTTGAACTCGCTGGACAGCGAGAACACGCGGAACAGTTCGATCTCGCTCAGGGTACGTTTCAGCAATTGATTGTAGATCGCCATCGTGTCGTGGGTGCAGTAATAATGAGACGCTATCCGTCCCAGTTCGGTAGCTTGGAAATTTCCCGACTTTCGATCGTACTTGATCAGGCCGCTTCGATCCAATCCTACGGCGGCCGAATGAATAATATCCGCTCTGTGTAACTCGAGCAACGGATCGTCCTTTAGCTTGTCGTGACTGATCCCGTACAAATTCGGGCAACGAAGCATCCTGATGTACAAGTAGGTATACCCCAGCCAAGTGACGGCGTCCCTGATGTTTTGTATAGTGCCAAGCACGATTTCGGCGTTCAGCATGTCCGACATTTTACTGATCAATTGCGACTCGATGGGTAGCTGCTGATTCAACAGAGACAAATAATATTGCAACTCGCTGTGATTCGTGATGAGGATACCCTCGCCTTTCGTGTCGTACTGCGGTCGACCGGCTCTGCCCAACATTTGCAACACGTCCAGCGCGCCTAACTCGATCCACCTACCTTTCTCCGGATTGTACACCTGAGTACCTTTTATAATAACCGTGTGCGCGGGTAGATTAACACCCCACGCTAAGGTCGCGGTCGATACTAAAACCTGTATGTGTCTATCCGCGAAAAGATCCTCGACCAACGTACGATCCACCCTCGTCATCCCAGCGTGATGGATAGCAAACCCATAAGGCAACAAATCTTTAAGTTCTTGATTCTTGACCTGTTCAGCCTCCGTTCTTAAAACTTCCATGGACGCGGATCCTTCTCTGAGAAACTGTCCCAGCGTGTCTTTCTCCAAACACATGTCCCTGATGGCACGCGCGGTTTTCCCGGTCTCCTTTCGCGAGTGCACAAAGATAAGGACTTGATTTCTGCCCGCGTGTTCCATCGTCTTCTCGTAGACGATTTCGTTCATCACTTGGAAACGTTTCAACGCTTTCTTCTCCGTGATGCCTATGTACTGTTGCTCCAACGCGACGGGCCTGAAACTGTTGTCGAAGTAAAACAGTCCGGTTTCCGGCTTTATGCGTAAAAACGCCGCGACGTCTTGGTAGTTCGGTAACGTCGCCGACAGACCGATCAGCCTCACGTCCTCCTGCGTCGTTTCGATGTTCCGGATCGTTCTGGCGACCAGTGCTTCCAACACGGGTCCCCTCTCGTCGTGCAGCAAATGAATTTCGTCGATTATGATCAATCTGACCAACGAGGTAAAGGTTTTCTCGCCCCCTTTACGCGTTATGATGTCCCACTTCTCGGGGGTGCACACTATGACTTGGGTCGCGGCGATCTGTTCCCTCGTCAGCTGATGATCACCGGTCAATTCCGATACGGTCAGGTTGTACGTGGACAATCTCTTACCGAAGTTCCCGACCATTTCTTGCACCAACGAGCGCATCGGCGCGACGTAAATTATTTTGAACTCGTCGGTGTTGATCGTACCATCGGCGTTTATATGCTTACCAATTTCACGCATCATGCATAAAAGCGCAACGTTGGTTTTACCGGCGCCCGTGGGCGCGCATAGCAGTAAATTTTCGTCGCTCTCCAACGCGGTTTGATATAAACGGCTCTGAATCCGATTTAACGTTTTGAACCCCTCGAAAGCCGGTTGCACGTATTTTGGCAACTGATCGATAGGATGTAGTTTCTCACTTTCTGTAAACGGTTTCGGTTTCAATGCAGGAACGTGAACCTCTTCGTAACTGTAATCATTTTGGAAAGAAAGAGATGATCAACGATTTGTTTAAATTAGGAGTTAACCTACGAATGGATCACTTTGACCTGCCATTTGCTTATTGTTATTGTTATAAAAGGCAGAAATGTTTGTATACTCCTGGGGGGAAAAGATACTTATGGCTGTCATGACGGTCACCGGTGACCGACACTTCAAACTTACGTGTTTCAGTCATTTGTTTTTTTAAATTATTGAAATTTTAAACAATTACTATTGAATTTAATAAATATGCAAACCCATAATAAACTACTATTTCAAAATTTAAATATTATATTATTAATAGGTAATAGTTGTACAGGGTGTTTGGCCATACCTGGGAAAAATTTTAATGGGAGATTCTGGAAGCCAAAATAAGACGAAAATCAAGAATACGAATTTGTTGATGGAGGCTTCGTTAAAAAGTTATTAATATTTAAAGTTCCGCCGGTACTGAATTTTTTTCTCGAAAATGCGCAGGATTTCGGGTGTATGTCTATTCACCAAAAATGATTGTAATAAACCCCCACAACTAAAAATAATTTTTCCAGAACGATTTGAAATTTTTTAATTTTGTCGACTTTATCCACCAACTCGAATTTTTTTCTCAAAAGCGCGTAGGATTTCGGGAATATGTCTAATGACCAAAAATGATAGTAATTGATCCCTGTAACTAAATATAATTTTTTTTAAACGATTTGAAATATTTTAATTTCGTCTAAAAATTTCACACCTCGAATTTTTTTCTCAAAACTGGGTAAGATTTCAGGGGTATGAGTGTTCACCAAAAATGATTGTAATTGAGCCCTACAACCAAAAATAATTTTTTGAAAAGATATTGATATTCTTGATTTTCGTTTTATTTTGGCCTCTGGAATCGTCCATTAAAATTTTTTCCCAGGGGCGGCCGAACACCCTGTATACTATTCGTTAATTTTTGACAATTCTATCTTTTTGTCCAGGAGTGTATTTCTACAAACAATATAAGAGTAATACAAAATTACAAAATACATCTCAAAATGTCAAACTTATCCGGGAATATATTTGCAAATTCCACACAGTCCATGCACTATAAGATATTGATCAACAATTAGTATATCGAAACTTCTATCGCGAGTCAAAATGACCCACCCATCGTCGATCGAGGGTTAAAGAATTGAAACTGTTTCAATATCTACCCTTTCCGTTGTTTTCTGAAACTACCATCGGGTAACTGGCAACGTTTATTTGCCATAAAGTGACTGCCTTGTGCAAACATAAGATCATCTAAATCTATTAGATTCCTTGTACCCTGGACTTGGCCACCAGGCCCTCCGGTATCTTCATTCTCTTCTCTTCTTTTACGTTGCGCTCTTGCTTCCATCGTTTCATCGGTATCGTCGTCACCCTTACCTGTATCCAACTGACGCAGAATTTTTGCTAATACGGGATCATCGTTCATTCTATTTCGAATTTTCTGTCGTTCCGATTCAGACTGTGAAGATGCCAACATAGTGCAATAAGCAACTGTAATTAATAGAGACAATTGCTTTTATAACCTATTCAAGTACCATTAAACCTTTGGACGATACGTTTGCGTATTTGTGTCGCTGTGCATTATTCGTTGCTCACGCAATCATCTCTTTTTTTTCTGAGAGTGCGAGTTAGACAGAGACGCATAAGTGGGAAGCCAGTTATTAGAACTGATAGGAACAACGACCGGATTTGCATAGATCTAAATGGACACAAAGTCCGCTGGCCGAAAGTTAAACTTTAATGCATAGTGTAGAACCGAAATAGAACTGAGATCAGGTTAATATTTTCAAAACTAGAAACAATAACACCTAACCCAAACAATAGCATATTCTGTTCTATTGAACGCGCAGAATACTTAAAACGGAATGTACCGTAGTCTTCCGGTTCTGTTTTATTAAATTTAAAAATAGAAGAATAAAATTGCGACCTAGCCACCATTATGCACTGTATACTTTCTTTGTATTTTCATACGCAGTATAAGAATAATCGATAAACGTAAATCGCGGTTGCAAGCCACACGCTATTTGCGAAGAGCGTACGGTTCTGTGATAATTATATTCGTCTAGGAAAATTTCTTACTTGTATGCCTGTACTTCTTCAGCTGTTTGATGAAGTCGAAGCAATCGTAGCCTAGCAAAAGTACCAATTGATTCTCACAGTCTCGATCATCCCCAGCATCCTTTAAAACTGCTAGCACTTCCGCGGCACGTGCTTGCGAAACCATTGCATCGTCATAGATCCTGCTTAATCTTCTTTGTAACCAATACGCATCTATATCCAAAGGATGCAATGGCTTCTCTTTTTTCATTTCTTCCGCACCGCCCAGCTAAAAATCAAACATTTATTTCATTACTTTCGCAAACACTTTCACGATTTTCTTCATGAAAATATTACGCGTAGTAGTACATACTTACATTTTCAGCATGAATAGCTCTATCGTCGTTGGCTTCTTCGCCTTCGTCGGCTTCGTCGTCGTTTTCTCTAATCTCGCCATAAACGTCTTCGTCGTCCTCTTCGCTGCTTTCTTCGAACTGTACATTAATTCCATACGTTTCGTCAATATTTTCCTCATTCGTGGGATTCTTTTCGTCGCTACCAAAGTCTGTTATTTTCTTCCCAAGATTGACCAACAACGCGAATCTTTCTTCCGCCAAAGAACCCAACAGCAGTTCGGTTTCCTTCTTCTTATCCTTTTCTTTAAGTCTATCATTTTTCAAGACTGCTAGTACTTCATCGGCAGCGCCGCAAAGTATATCTCTGGGTTGATCTCCCAAAGCTTCTTGAATAAAACTTAACAACACTTCGTAAGTCTGCCGCGTTTCTTGTGTTTTAGGACGATAAACAATTCCAACCATTTCGTCCACGCCTTCTGAGAGTAATGTTGCACCTTTCATTCGCGTGAAATCATACTGTGCTTCGTCTCGCTTTTGACGTCTATTAAACATAAAAACTGGCGTTACGTACGTGTTTCATTCTAACATGCAAGATTTTTAATGAACGCTTGTACTTACTTGACTTTTCGTTCTTCCGCTTTTCCTGGTTTAGTACGTTGTGCTCTGTCACCCATACGTGTACCATCGAGTTTTCCAACAAGTGACATTACCTCACCGGTAGCTTCATCTCTGCTACGCCTTTCTATTAATCTCACATCAGCTTGTAAAACAAGATTGGAATTCTGAAAATATAAATACGTATTATAGTAATTTAAATACTAGTAAATGTGTGCAATTGTACTTAAATTGAATACCTTAACAAATAACGTTACAATAGAATAAAGAAACTGTAAAGTAAAACTAATAATCTTACATTTAAATTAATAAATATACTTACGGCTTTATATTCATATTGCAATTGTCTGGCCGCAGCATCCGCCATGATTGTTTTTGTTTAATAACCGGGGTTAGCGCAACAAATATTTACTCACACACACTGTATATTACTTTTTTTTTATCCTCACTGAACACTAATTACACAAAACACGACTTATCTCGTACATTTGATTATAAATGTCTACAGATAACTTTATTTCATACATACTACTTCATAAAACTAACGAAAATATTGATACTCGATTGTCTGAAATTGTACAAGAAGCAATAAGAATGCAAATCATAGATGATTGTCAGAACCAAAGTTTGAATTCCAAATCAGATTTTTTTAGTTGCAAAACTAGCGCCATCAGCGGCCAAACCTTCGAACCAATACTGACCCTAGATAAAAAATAAATTCCCTATTCGTGGATATGCAAAATCACTACAAATTTTTTATGAACCGTGTATAAGTTCACAGAATTCTGAACATTCAAAATTATTGGATGTAAAACAGGCTAAAACATATTTAGTACAATTTGAAAATGAATTACATTATTATGTGTATTTTTAAAAGTCAACAGAAAGGGTAAAAAATCATAAAAGAATGATTTCCTATCATTATACAACATATATGTTATGCAATATCTAGATTAGAATAAATGACAAAATAGTTATAAATTCATGATTGTGTTTTTTTATTGTATCTTCAATTGGTTTTAATAACAGTATAATTATATTAATTATTAATAAGTTATACTATAAATATTTATTTAAGAATACAAAAAGTATCATATGCATATACATGCAGCATTATTCAAGTAATATATTCTTTAAGTTTTAGACTCACACCGCATTTTTATAATTATTAGCACATCAAAATATAATACGATTAACATGTTTATAAATATAACATAGTAAAAATATTATATACTTATATATTGTAAAATAGGATGCAATTAGCCTTTGAAATGTTTAATCGAAAATTAATAACGTTCTCTCTTTAATCAGAAGCGAACTCGAAAAAAAATTATTTGTTACGGTGTTGAGAAATTCCCTAAGCCTTTTGTTTTCCAAACAATGTCCCTTAACTTGGCATTTTCATGCTTTTTACAAAATAAACAAATAATGTATAAATAATAAAAATAATTTATAACCTGGCTTTCACGCAAATAATATTACCGATATTATGAATATATTACATGATTTCGAGCTTATAGAAAAGTAACGTAACAATTCGTAATAGTTCTTGCCAACAAGTTCTGAGTATGAATGTGTAATTAATTACACTGGTGGGAAACACAGGTTTAAATCCATATTCTAACTTCAACTAATACTAAGCACACCTTTGCTTTCTCTTTAAGTACTAGAATAAGACTCATAAACACTGTAAAGGTAAACTAGTAACCCCATTACTTTCATAAAGTTTTACATTTGAGGTTTTGTTCGTTTGATTATCACTATGTGGCGTTTAAAATGGATTTTACAAATAATTTGTCTATACATACTTTCAATTGTAGGCATTCAATCTGAGATTCCTGTAAGTAATTACAAATATTACATCTCGTAATAAAGTCGTCCTTAATTTCGTATAGAATAATTTAAAAAAGTAATATTTTTGTAAATAATTTTCAATATACAATTTTTTCATTTTTACTGTTCAAATCTTGGATAAAAAAAGTTTTATCAAATTTTAGAATTCAAACAATTTTGTTGACTAAAATTTTATATGAATTCAAATTATACTACACAAATTTGAGTAATTAAAATATTCTCATTGTAGCTTCTTTCGAAACTAATAATTAATTGCCCTATCTACCTTTAATTTATATAATTATGAATAATATTTCTTAAAAGTGTATTTTCATCATTGTGTTCAACAGTCACAGAACAATAATGTCTTGAATAATTTTATTGGACAATTTATGCAAAACTAAAATACAAAAAAATAAGTATAAGCTAAATTTTTAATATTTACAAGTCTCAATATAAATATTGCCTTACTATTAATTTTGATTGCCATACAGCCTGACTATGGTTAACTGTTGGAATAGATTTTCCTATTAAAGTGGTGATTATTAATTTTATAATATAAGCAATTAGTTATTAAAATAAACTATATTGTAAATATAGATAACATTGTTATAGCTAGAAAATAAAATGTCTGTTATCGAAACATATAAATATATTTTCCAGAGTAATGTAATTCCTGTCAAAACAAATTTTTCATGCATCGATAAAACAGCTGGTTTCTATGCAGACGTTGATACCAGATGTAAAATATATCACACTTGCGATGAATTTGGAAACAAATTTACCTATCAGTGTCCAGAGGAAACTGCTTTCCGACAAGATGCCTTGATATGCGATCATGCTCATCTAGTTAAATGTCAAGGATCCGTCCCTTCGAATACAGAAATGCAGAAAGAAAAGTATAACAACTCTTCTTGCGCAAAGGGATCAACGGACAATATTAACTGTCATTTCTTTTTTAAATCTTTGCAAGAGATACAACCGATAAAGATATATAATGCAGAGCAACGTGGATTTGCATTTAGTTCGCAGGATATTCTGAACAATTTTAATGCAACAAAAGTTGGGGAAAACAAAATAATTAAATTTTTTCATCCGCCGTTAAATAATTACAATCCGACAACAAATGTTCCTCTCGATCGTTTTACGAATATAAAAACCCAGCACGTTCCTTTTACAAATCAAAATCAACAAAATAGATCTACGATCGAAGAAAATTCTTCTGTTCCAAGTCAAATTATTAATGATAAGGTTAAATTCAATGTCAGGGAAGAAACTAACCAAAAAACAAATGACGCTTTGTATAATTTTTTGAAATATTCGTTGAACACGTTTCCTGAAAAGGTGCAGGATCAACAAAACAATATGAACAATCATCATATTATAAAAAATTCTCCAGACTTTTTGAAGCTATCCTTTATGAATCATAGAAATTATCCTTATACAGAGACTTTGAACTCTATACAAAAAATTACAAAAATGCCATCGACTACAATTAATACCTCCTTAACAACTACAGAAGTACCTTTGTATGCCCTAACTTTGTCTTTGAAACCTTTGGTACCAAATGAACAAGAACATGATCCTTACTATCCAAAATTCTCAACGTCAACTGAATCCTATTATACTCCAAGTCATAGTGACAATAAACAGCCGCACATTAAAGTTTATACTCAGACATGGTCTAATACTCATATCAAACTTCCGCCTGTTTTGCCAGATCTGAATTCTTTAGAAGATATTGTCGATCGTAGAAAACAATTTTATATTCCTCGTATTAAGTTCGATTAACTAAATGCTTTCTTCATGTAAATATAATAAAATATATGAATTTTTAAAATGTGTTAAATTATTTCGTCAAGAATTGAAGTTCTATTTCAAATTGTTAGGATAACAAGTAAAATTCTTGCGTACAGCGTACAAACAAAAACGAAAAGTATTTCGTTAAGTGAAGTATGAACAGCGAACGTTGTTACACATAACAAAAGTAAGCGTTCACTGTATTTGTAACGGTATTCGCTAAAAAATTGATCGAATCACTAATTTGGTAAATATTAAAAAAGAAGCAATGACTTTACGGAAAAAAACAATTGTTTAAAAACTAATATTCGTTTGATTTTCCGAAGTGACCTTTCATTAAACCTTCGAATACTTTTATGGAAACTTTTCCTAAAATTTAATTTACTTTTACAGAATGGTAATAATTAATAGAAATATTGGATATAACACTACGAATACCAATGTTTCGTAATTCTTTTATCGAAGATCACCGTAGTGAAGATAGTAACAGGCCGCGAGTTTCGAATTTCATTTACCGAATAATTAGTTTTTAATTGATTTATTTTACTATTTCGAATAGCAACATGTAGGGTGGCAGATGTATAATATTACAACTTATTCGCAATTAATTGTATCAACACCCATTTCTCGCGGGAAACCATTTTAAACGACATTGGCAACGAGCTGTACTGGCTTGGGCACAGTTTATATAGTTGGTTCACTCTCTCAATTTTTGTGTCGCCGAGGTTTCATGTGGGTGCACCAACAATACAACCTGTTACATGGCGGAATTCTATATACATACATAGCATCTATATATGTATAATAAATTAATGCATTCATGTAAGGATAACGCGTATTGATTTCGAATTAATATATAAATATAACAAGCTTTTTTAAATTTCCCGCAAACATAACCAACAATATGACTATTTTGGCGGCACAAAGATTAAAGAAGTCAACGTGGAGTCGACCGACTATATAAACTGTGAGTCGTGTTTTTCGTTGCTATAGAGAGGGACTAAGGCGACAGCTCAGAGCGTCTCAAGCAAGTATCTTAGTATTATTATTTACTAATTAAAATTAGCATTCTATATAATTATTTCAACATACCTTCTTACTTTATTACGCCCTTAAAAACAAAATGGGGATCGTATTTCGTAAATACAAAACAATTAAATTTCTACGTAGTAAATTCTGACAAATTAGTTTCTACAACTTGAAATTTCTTATCATTATCATTAGCTCTTGATAATGCGTCTGCAAAGCATAACAGAATATTTGATTCGTATCTTACAATAAATCTTGTAATGTTATGGTTAACATTTCTTTTTCTAATTGAGCATATTTAGTTTCGAAGTCGGTCAGTCTTTCAAGCATGTGCAACAAAGAGTTTGGTTTTGCAAAATAATTGCTCCTATCCCAGCCTTTCGATTATGTATCGATAAAACAGTGTCTTGTCTTTCATGAAAAAATTGTAGAACCGGAGGTTTTATTAAAATTTCCGTTAAATTGTTAAAAAACAAACATCTTGTCATGAATCTAAGTCCTAAGCCACAAGGAAATTTTTAATAAAATAGTTTACGAACAATCAATAATGTAACACTTTTAGGATGATAATATTTAGGATGATCGAACATTGGCTTATGACACACAATGCACAGGAAAATCTGATTAGATAAAGTTTATTTACAATTGATTAAATTGCTGTCTGCAATAATAATAGCATTTCAAAAATTGCGTTTAATAAGAAGGCATTTATAGGAAATATAATTTCTATCGAACGTGTAGATTATAGCGCGTTTAATACATAGTAAATAATATATATCTAATATTAATTTGTCTTTAATTGTAATTTATTTTATAAATTAAATACAACGTAGAATTTACAAACAGCATTCGATATTATCGCCGGTAGATTTTTCCCAAGCAAATAGCCAATAACCAAGGGCTGCACCAAGTGCCACTGCTAAGCAGAGCCAAACATTGTATGTCATAAAAATTAACATAAGAAAATATCCTATAACCGTTTGAACGACGTGAACAATTGTTTGAAGAAGATGTATCTTGGAAAATAGTAATGCCCTGAAACAAAATATGCTACGATGCACTCTTACTTTTGTAAGATACAGCAGGCGTATCTATTAGATTTAAATTCATTCTCGCCACATTTTTATAAGAATTTATTTGTTAATATTAATATGATTATTAGAATTGTGGTAACAAACAATTATATGTAGGTGGATAGTAACTTAAGCAATGATTGCATGCATAAAAATAAGATGAAATTGCGTTTGAAGATTTATTAATTTCCTCTCTATAAAAAAGGTATTGCAATTAAGGAATAGTTTTAGAAAACGAAAATCGCGTGTTAGGATCCCTTAATTATGTTCTGACTATTAAAACAGACATATACATTTTTAATGTGATTTTAATAAATTTATATTTAAGTTGCATATTCTTATTTTAAAACCTGATTAGATTTTGAACAAAATTGTTCCATGAACAATGATGATTACTTACAGATCTTTTGTTTTTCTAACGTATTATTATTTCTAAATATTTTGAAGTATGTGAAAATTAAATTTTACATAAAAAATGATAAAACAACGTATCTTCGTTTTTGCTTTTTGTTTTCGATAATGCAATTAGAGGTATTGATGGTGAGTGAATCCAATAACTTAACTCAATGTCTGGAATAGAGTATACAATTAAAGTCTGGTATAGAAGAATATAATAAAACAAAAGGTTACTGTGTTTGCAATAGAAATTTGCACAGGTGAATTGCAGACGTTTACTGTTTTGATTTTCAATACCGAGAAGTATGATTATACATACGTCCTCGATCTGTCTTCTTTATTCCTCCAGAGACACGGAGTGTGTACGTAAAGATGTTCGCTTGAAAATATAAAGAAAGAGAAAATAGATCATTATGAACATAATTTTGTGAATAATTTTGCGAATACGATATGTCACTTACCGATAAGACTTTATTCCTTCGTATATAGACGTTAGAAGAATAATACCAACCATTGACCATCCAATCCCTTGCCAATCAACTACATTCCATTCATCAAATAAAATAACTTCGTTCTCGCCGATATGAAAGGACATCTGACATAAATTTACATCACGAAATGAAAAAAAGCAGAAAATTTGCATAAAAAGTTTAGCACATGTTTTTTTTATTACTTACGTGCATCTTGTTAGATTATAGTAATACATTCAACACTTTCACAGAGACCGCATATGCTCTAATGAGTTCTGTGATCTTACTTGGCTACTTTATCAAATTATAGATAACGTATCTATATGATCGATCGTTATTCGAGAAAATTAAAATCGAATCAACATGTCTCTTAAGCAAGATTTATTGTTAAATAAATCGTCGAAAAACGGGCAAATGACGAGTTTGGACATCTTCGAACTTTTGCATAAAGTTTTTTTTTTCAACTTTTTGTGAACATTAAACTTTGTGATGGCAAAGATCTTTCTTCGTTCCTTCGCGTGTCTTGCCTCGTTAATACCGTTGCTTTTTCGCCCCAATATTTCGAGATTAAATTCTTCAATTAAAAAGTAATATGCGAAACTAAGATGAAGGAAAGGTATGCGCGGTAATGGCCTGATATCGGCGAAGTAAAGATGTCGCCAAGCCATTATCCGGCTGACGGTTTCGGTTAGGAATAGCTTATTTCTTTAATTATTTTATACATAATTTATATTTTCTGTCTACAGGTTTATAAGCAGCACATAGAAGTATACAGGGTGTTCGGCCACAAATTAAAATGGGAGATTCCAGACACCAAAGTAAGACGAAAATCAAGAATATCAATTTGTCGATCGAGGCTTCGATAAAAAGTTAATAAAAAATTAAATTAAAATATTTCAAATCATTCACGGAAAAATTATTTTCAGTTGCAGGGGCCAATTACAATTATTTTTGGTCATTAGACATATCCCCGAAATCCCACGCACTTTTGAGAAAAAAATTCGTGTAGCTTCTGCAATTTTTTGGAGGAATTAAAAATTTTCAAATCGTTTTAAAAAAATTATTTCTAGTTGCGGGGGTCAATTACAATCATTTTTGGTCATTAGACATATCCCCAAAATCCCACGCACTTTTGAGAAAAAAATTCGTGTGGCTTCTGCAATTTTTTGACGAAATTCAAAAATTTCAAATCGTTTTAAAAAAATTATTTCTAGTTGTGGGGGTCAATTGCAATCATTTTTGGTGAATACGCATACCCCCGAAATCCTACCCACCTTCGAGAAAAAAATTCGGGTAGGCGCTAAAATATGAAATTTTTCGGCGAATAAAGAGAAGTCGTTTTTTTTTATTAAAGTCAGGTAGGATCGCGATCGACGCCGCCTTCAACAATGGAAGGCAAAGGAAAACTTGGATCGGAAACCACGTCAGAACGCCCAACTATGTATCAACCCTGATGACTTTATAGATCAATCCGAAATCCAGTATGACCTTGGATTTCTAAAAGGATTCAGGCCTATAGAGCAAGTGTAGGCGTGCAATACTGATTTCTCGACGTTCTCGTTACAAAATAAAAATTAAAGGAGGAATGAAGAAGTTCAGGTTCCCAAAATGTTATCAACTAAATCGACTAACGAGAAATAATACATATTAATAAAACAATCTGTTTGAAAAATATTACTCTTAATTTTAACTTCCCGTAGTAGAACAATTTCCCGGCGCCATATAAATTAAAAAGTAGGATATATGTACAAATATGTAAATGATAAATAAATTTTGAAGTAAAATTTCGAGTCACGAACGTTATAAGGGAGGCTAGTGATGCACGGTTAGATGAGTTGGACAGATATTGTCTTACGCCGAATCGAGTATCGAATCGATTGTAGGGAATACAATTTTTGAACCCCTCCGGAGGTGGCACAGGGTAGCGTTGGACTGTTATCGACTAAAACCATACGACGAGCCGAGTACCTCTGCGCGTTGTAGGGGGGCTTTGGGAATCACCAGCTTACAGTTACGCGCAGTGCCCCCTCTGCACGTTGCGCTCACCACGAGTCCATTCCGGGGGTAGAGATGACGATCTCCCCTCAATGGTGAAGTGTAGGGTCGTATTAGGTCGCTGTGCAATGACGACTCGACCCTTCACCTTCATCTCGAACAAGGGAAGAAAAAGTGTGTGAAATTCATCCCCCCTCCCTCGCTCCACACATTCTCATACGTCCCCTTTTTGGTCGCTGTGCAATAGCGACTCGTGGCTCATCCAAGTCACCGCATAGTGGTTCAGATCTTCAAAAATGCGAGCTAAATCAAGAGTGTTTTAACACGTTGACTGCCAGACCAAATCCCTAAAATTGTCTACGAAAAGGATACTCTTTTTTGGATAACTGGAAACTAGCATATCCACAATTTGTTATAGAACTTATTTTTACAACCTCGTTAAAATTTAAGTGTCCTATCAAGATTTATTTCCTTTCACATGTAATCTTGAGAAATAATTTTTTTAGCTGATCGATGAAAATTCATGTCACTCATATATGGGTGACGTGGCAGTCAATGTGTTAAGGATTTTTTTTTTAGGCCTGGAATCAAACTTTGACGTCAATGGATGAAAAATATTTATGGTATATCGATGTACATTTGAATACTGAAAATTAACAGTCGAATGCCCCGGTGGATTTTCTAATAAAAAGATCAGATCAGTTGTAAAATGAGCTTGTGTATACGAATTGCAATCGGCAATGACTGTTGAAGCGCGGCGAATTATTATCGATTTATTTAAACAAACAAAATCACTCAGGGAGATTGGAGGCATTGTTGCAAAGCCACATTCCACAATACGGTATATCGCTAAACAAATATGACGAAGAATGTATTGCTGTGTATAGGATTTTATTTCGAGGCAAATAAAAATAAATGCCAATACCAGTGCAACAAGTATTACTAAAGAATTAAAGGACGTTATTGGGATCGATCTGCATGCGGGAACCGCGCAGAATTACATTGAAGTGCTTTTTCTAAAAATCAGTAAAATAACAGACATATGTATATGATTCTATGAATCACGTTTCTGTTTGTTTGTTTTTTTAGATAATTGTAATATGTCTACTGAATTTCTCAATTAAATGTTACTTTTATATCTTTGCAAAAAATGGCAAAATAAAAATAAAAATAATAAAAATATTTTGATAATGTTTCTTTTTACTATACTAGAATATGTTCTACTCGGTTTTGAGGCGTTGAGAAATAAGGGGATTTTTAAAACCCGTACGGCTACATATATTATACTGTCTAACAGTAATATACATATGTACTGTACGGTTAAAATTGCTCAAAGGGGAATACATGCCCTCTTTATACTCGAAAATTGTATTAAAACCGAATCTAATATTATAATTTTCATGGAAACTCCGGGTCAAGATTCGCATTAACGATGACCTTATTTAGGCTGGTGCATTTTCGTTGGTCCGAAATGGTGAATGTATTCCGAAGGGGGTACGAAACAATATACGGAGTGTTTGTTTTAATTCAATAGAGTGAAATATGTTTTAAGTGATGTTACGAAAGAGTGTTTTAACAATAGCAGTTATGCGGTGTAAATATTTGCTTTGTACAAGATGTGCCGTGGAAAATTTAAAAATCAATTCAGTTTTTTCAAATGGAATGCTATATTTTTATATGTATGACAGTCTATAGTTAAATAATATTGTTCAACTACGTATATCGACGTAGCAAGGTGCAAAAAAATTCATCAGTAATTCAACGAATACGAAAGATATATTGTATAGAGAGTGAAAGCACTGTACATAATAATACAACCCCTGGCAAAAAGTTTTCGGTTAAACGCAACAGTACGAAATAATTTTAAAATGTTTTAGTTTTTGAAACGTAAAATTGTACCACATAAAACGTATGGATATATTAGATGCATTGAGAATAATGTAAATTTTTCTTTAGTTTTTGTTTATTTATTTAACTATGATTTAGCTTTATTGATATTTCCTCATAAAAACTAACAAAGAGTTACTTAATAATAAATATTAATCCCATCTAATACACTCATATGTTTCATAAAATTATTAAAATAATTTCGTATTGCGGTTTGTGAAACACCTTGTTATTATTTCTCTCGCGGTCGAAACCTTTTTTAACATTATCGATATTTTCCCATCAAAAATAACAAAGTAATACATCTATGCATTTCACAAAATTATCATAAAAATAATTTCGTATTACGGTTTGGTCGAAAACATTTTGTCAGAAATCAATAGGAACACCAGTCATCTAATAATAAATCTCAACCCCAATCTAATACACCTATGCATTTCACAAAATTATCAAAATAATTTCGTATTACGGTTTGGTCGAAAACATTTTGTCAGAGATCATAGGGGAACACAGTCATCTAATAATAAATCTCAACCCCAATCTAATACACCTATGCATTTCACAAAATTATCAAAATAATTTCGTATTACGGTTTGGTCGAAAACATTTTGTCAGAGATCATAGGGGAACACCAGTCATCTAATAATAAATCTCAACCCCAATCTAATACGCCTATACATTTCACAAAATTATCATCAAAATAATTTCGTATTACATTTTGGTCGAAAAGATTTTGCCAGGGGTTGTACGTATTGGTCGAACATCGAACGAAACATTGTTCGCGTGAAAATTCCGTTCGATTTCGTTGTTTACCGCGATTGCTCGTGTTTTGGCGTCGTGGAACCCGATCGAAATCGCTGTAGTTCGGCCGTGAATGTCGTGAAAGATCGTGTATGGTTCTGGATGTTAAGTTAATCGATTTCTCTTTCTGTCGCTTCGGCGGAGAGAGTGTCCTCCCCGTTCCGTGATCAGCCCAGATGCCCGGCCTGCGTGAACGAGGCGGGCGCAACCTGTGGCTGATCCTGACCGCCGCGCCTCCCTGCGTCCGGAAATTCAGCCACGCTCGATTCTCAAACTCCCCTCAGTGCCATTCTCACCGTACGGCTGCTCACATGAACGACGGCGATCCTTTTCGTGCAACGACAGTCCAGCGTTCCAACTTGAATCGCGGAAAGTTTTACGCGGTCGCGGGCCGTGCAGTAACGAGAATAGACACGGTACGCCGTGTTTCCAACGCCTCGCTCGATCCAACACGATGTTTGAGTAGGCTCGCCGAGGCGCCGGCACCTCGCGTTTCTACCGCTCCTTCGCACGGAGCCAAAATCGTAAAAACAACCCACGAGCGTGGGAGAACGTCGGGATCTCGTGCACGAGCACAACCGTTGGGATCTCATCCTCGATGAAGCAATTAATTCTGGCGTGTTTAGCCGAGTGTTCGCGTACTCTGTGGTCCGGAAAAGGTCAGTTTTTGAATACACCATCCCAACCCCTGCGAGAACCTCCCCGTATCTCTATCACCCGTAGACTATTTTCTTACGAATTATAAATTCTTATCGATTACGCTTTACGCTCGCTCCCATCGATAATCCGGCAAATATATTATTTACACTGTCAGGAGTACCTGTGTATGCAACCAAGAAACGTATTTTTAGACGTTACGTCTCCGTGTTCGTTATGAAACTTTGTATTTCACTGCGTTCGTTCGTTTGGAGGGATTTCTCGACCGCGAGACTGGGCAGGGTCAACGTTCTATCACGATGTACCGTTCGTGTATCACACGCGCAGACAAATGTGTTACCTATGTAGCCCGAAGAACTAGAATCCTACTAAATATTACATATTCTTTCCCGTTTGGTCGACAATTTGTTCTCGCCGGGCGAGATAACGTCTCCTTAGTTTCGTTGGACGTTCACCGTGCGTAGAAAATTGTAGAAAGTAGAAAAACTGTTAAATTTGTCGGACATCCAAATTCGATCGAATTCGAACAACGATCTTATCCCTCGTAAATATATACGACACTGTCCTATGAAAATTATATTTTTAGTTAATATATTTCTGCAGTTAAATGTTCGTCGAGAGATATCGAAATTAATATTTAGATTACGTGGTAAGGATAATCGTAAATAATTGGTGGAGCTGTTCGGTGAAACGATTACTTTTTTGGTGTATTTATAAATGTATAACTGGTCAGTGGGGAATACTCTTCATTTAAGCAATAAATTCCAGTCGACTCTAATCACGAAAATGGAAAGTTAAATTAAAATGTTGGCTCTGGTTTTTCTGAAAAAAAGTGAAAATTTTGTAATACTTGAAAAGGGCTCGGTCAACTTTTATATTTTATATTCGAGAGATTTTTTATGCGATCTGAAATTTAAGCAGAGTATCGCTGGAAATTAAACGTATGCAAACCTAGTATTTTCAGGATTATTATTTTAGTAAATTTATGATTTTATAATCTGTTGTGGATTCACAAAGCATAAAAATATCATGAAAACTTCACGTAACAAACTAGAAAAAAATGTGTTTTAAATGAATTATATTTCTCGAACAATAATCAAATAATTTTATTTTTTGTTCTTTCTTATCTTAGTATATACAGGGTGTTTGGCCATTCCTGGGAAAAATTTTAATGGGAGATTCTAGAGGACAAAATAAAATGAGGATCAAGAATATCAATTTCTTGACTGAGGCTCCATTAAAAAGTTATTAAAAAATTTCAAATCATTCTGAAAAAATTATTTTCGGTTGCGGGGCTCAGTTACAATCACTTTTGGTGAATACACATACCCCTGAAATCCTACTCATTTTCGATAGAAAAATTCATTACTGAATATATAATGTCTGACCATAACTGTCTGGTTACCCTGATAAAAAAATATTTCAAATCATTTTGGAAAAATTGTTTTTGCTTGTGGGGGTTAATTACAAGCATTTTTGGTGAATACATATACCCCTGAATTCCTACCCATTTTCGAGAAAAAAATTCAAGTAGGTACTGAAATTTTTACGCGAAATTAAAAAATTTCAAATCATACTAAAAAAATTATATTTAGTTACAGGGGCCAATTACAAGCATTTTTGGTCAATATATATACCCTTGAAATCTTATTCATTTTCGAGAAAAAAATTCGAGTAGGTACTGAAATTTGTAGGCGAAATTAAAAAATTTCAAATCATACTAAAAAAATTATATTTAGTTACAGGGGTAAATTACAAGTATTTTTGGTGAATAGGCCTACTCTCGAAATCCTACCCATTTTCGAGAAAAAAATTCGAGTAGGTACTGAAATTTTTAGGCGAAATTAAAAAATTTCAAATCATGCTAAAAAAATTATATTTAGTTACAGGGGTAGATTACAAGTATTTTTGATAAATAAGCCTACCCCCGAAATCCTACCCACTTTCTAGAAAAAAATTCATTACGAGTAGAACTTTAAAGGTTAATAACTTTTTAACAAAGCCTCCATCAACAAATTAGTATTCTTGATTTTTGTCTTATTTTGACCTCCTGAATCTCCCATTAAAACATTTCCCCGGGGTGGCTGAACACTCTGTATAAATAAATCAGAAGCTAGATTAATCGTAAAGAAAACAATTGTTTACAATTTGTTGATCAGCGTTATAGGAGGAATATCTGATTTTACACGAAATCTCAGACCAGAGTAAATAATTTCTTATTTCCAAACATATTCTATTCGTAATTTTTATTTTAATAACAGTCAGACTTCGTTAAAATATAAGTCTGAAATCTTAACCCTATGTTAATAACAATATTTGTGTGTTTATAAAATATTCGAACGTGGAATCGTATCCTAAACACACAAAACACATTATAGTGCCTAGCACGGGATATTACGTAGTCCCAGGTGAGTTTGAATACGCTTATCATGGAGTATGCCCGGAAATTAAAGACCATTTTCTTGTAACCTCTTGCATGCATAGCTTTTCCTTACGTAACATTGTATTTACAAGCGGCGCCAGAGCCACTATTCAATGCCAATCATCGAATCCATCAGAAAGACGCAGTGGGTGTAACTAATTGTCCCCACAATTGATATTATTACTCGTTCGTATCTCGTAACTAATAACGAAATTCATGCAATTACTTTAACATGCCACAAACTGCAACGATAGATACATTCGACAACACTGGTAAACAGCAAATATCCATTTTCGTCTAAAATTTCAGCAGTCAAATACATTCAGTTTTTCTAAAACACAAACTGAAGGTGGAAATGTTGTAATAAAACAAAATAATTTTAGATACTTCTGGTAAAACTATCCTGCCAAATAAATTCGACAAAAGCACGAAATTTAATGAACTACGAACAGTAACGAAGTTTATAAATATTCAGTCTTATTGTTTTCTAATATTGAGCAGACAGTTGAAAAAAAGCTGCTTACGTGCAAAACTTGGAATTCTCGGGGATAAAAAGTAGAAAAAGTGTCTGCGTTTATAATTATTCATAGTATCTGATAAGGGAGGTTCTACTGTATACTTTCCAGGCGTGTCACGATTTCAAAAAAAAAAAACTTACCTATATCGTGATAAACCAGTTGTAAATAGCAAGTTTGGAGTACGAAGAATGAAAGAATACGACGAAAAAGGATAGAAGTTATCAACAAAAAACAGTACATGGATCGTGATCATGGAAAAAAGTAAAGAAGAGACGCCCATGGCGCATTATTAAAATACGAAGCTAGAATCTTAATTAAAGACCAGTGACAATGAGAGTACATTACTACGAGTAAACAATGAGAGTACATTACACCGTGGTATTTTCACCTGTTGTCCGCTACTCTTCTCTGGAGCATTTAATCGCTTTAGCGACAGAGCACGATTCAAGGATTGACCGGATGAATACGGCGACGGGTTTCCACCAAGGAGAAATCGATCAGGAAATACACGTGCAACGCTGATTAACCACTGTCCAGATTAAACACATACGTACGTTGCTTGCAGCAGGCAAGAAGACAATGGAGTATAAATTTATACTTGGCCTTAAAAGAAATAGGTCTGAACCGTTCGAAATTAGATCCATGTACACGCCACAGCACGAGAGAAGAAAAGGATACGACATCCATGTCCGTAGACGACTCACTACGCGACACAATAGGATAAAAGATTCAGTTTCGAAGTTCTAGATGAAGAATAATTTTTTACAAATGTCTACCTATTTGAAGATGTAGAATTTTTCACGGTGTTTACGCGTAATTTGTATTTACGTTGAGGAAGGTAGCAAGACATCGAAGAATCGTCGAAAGTTTATTGTATTTGGCTGAAGGAACAGGATCAGGTATTTGCTATACCGTATATCAAAGAAGTCGAATGGCAAACGACAGCTGCAAAGATGTCAGCAGGAACGTCACTGGTTGCTTGAGAATTGGACCTAGAATGGAGGCAGAAGGTCCTATAGGGTCTACGTACTTTTGTTTCAGGGTGCTTCATTGTCGCGGAGTAGCAGAAAACAGCAAACTGTTGCTCTATCGATCACTGAGGTGTATTGACCCTAGCAGTATCAGTGATTCAGGAAGGAACCATGGCTCGAGCAATTGGAAGGAGAACTTTAGTCGTAGCTAAAAGCCTAGCCCATTAAAATACTCTGTGATAATCAGGATACAATAAAACTTATAGTTAGTGATGCTTCTCTGTCCCGTAGCAAGCATTTTGATATAGGGTGAAGGTACCTAATATTGTCTAGCAAAACTTAAATCGTTTCTAATCGAAATGTGCTTCATATTTCCATAATTCGTTTCAAAGTGAAAAAAATTATTCAATCTTCATACAGAATAGGTTAAAACTGGTAAATTCTACTTTTTAATTGTAATCGAAGAAACGTAAATAAGATGGGTAATGGTTAATATTGTCTAGCAAAATTTAAATCTTTTCTGATCGAAATGTGCTCCATATTTCCATAATTCGTTTCAAAGTGAACAAAATTATTCAACCTTCATACAGAATAGGTCAAAACTGGTAAATTCTATTTTTTAATTGTAATCGAAGAAACGTAGGTAAGATAGGTAATGGTTAATATTGTTTAGCAAAATTTAAATCTTTTCTGATCGAAATGTGCTCCATATTTCCATAATTCGTTTCAAAGTGAACAAAATTATTCAACCTTCATACAGAATAGGTCAAAACTGGTAAATTCTATTTTTTAATTGTAATCGAAGAAACGTAGGTAAGATGGGTAAAGGTTAATATTGTTTAGCAAAATTTAAATCTTTTCTGATCGAAATGTGCTTCATATTTCCATAATTCGTTTCAAAGTGAAAAAAATTATTCAATCTTCATACAGAATAGATTAAAACTGGTAAACTCTACTTTCTAATTGTAATCGAAGAAACGTAGGTAAGATGGAGGAAAAATCGGGACCCGAAAACAGTGTATCCAAGAAATATTGATTCATTCGTATATATACCGAGTTGAAGTTATTTTTACGTATCGCTTTTATTATTTAGTGCTTGCTTTCATATTGGGTGCTTTTACCTTATGCATCACTGCCGGTGAGAAAAATTACACAGAGAAGATAATGGCGGATAGAAAATTTTCGAGAACGTAATTTATCGCATCGAAAAGATAGGTTTAGAAGATTTTAATCCATTACGCAAAATCAAGCAGCATTTGTTATCCAGCACGTATCAATATTAGACTCTATCATCTCTTATCTATTAACACCTTCCACTGGAATAACGTCGATGATCATTTATTGCAAAAGTGGGATGCATTCATAGAGATACATGCATTTATTAAACAATTTTCTCACTTTTCTACATACTCAATGCAATTTATAAAGCAGCACGAATAATGAAATAATTTAATTGGTTCCTAATAAACAGTATTTCGATCCATATTTCAAAATGAAAAGAGACTGTGAGTCTTGGGGGACATTTTCCTGAAAGTATTTCATCCACGAAAACTAAAGAAAGGTGCAAAGTTCGTGAGAGAAACAAACACCGCGATGCAATAAACGTCTTGTTACGCGTTCTACATTATTTAGAAGTGTATCGTATTATGAAAAGTTAATAACAAAGACTTTTATTGCAAACAAGAAGTATTCTTAGCCGAAGATTTTGCCTCGATTTCTATGTTTAATCGCGGTTTAATCGCGCGTATCCGCGAATCAGTGCCAGCGCAGGTGGTTAAATCCATTCACCTATTCACACACATGTGTATAATTACATACAGTCTGCTCCAGTATGAGTGGTGCATCTAAGCAAGAGGTTGTTCAATATTTATTCTTGTAATGATTGAACGCGATTTGGCCAGCGTGTCTGTTCATTATTCGCTGTTTCTACTTACAGTGATATTCAAGACGCAAGCGTAGCCGACATGTTTTCAAATTTTCGGTAGAACGAAACATTATATGGATAAATTTAAAAATTATACTACATTTTTATTTTTTAAACACAAACATACAAACACAAAAAACCACAAAACAGTTTTTTAAAAAGCGTGTCTGATCGCGAAAACATCACAATTTTAACTTTTGATTTTTTTATGTCTTTAAATCTGCAAGGATTTTACTATTATTTGCTTATAAAAATTATTCAAGTACAGTAAACGTTTACTTTTCTTGCAATAGATGACGTTGACGATGAAATATTGTAAACAGAGATTTTGTAGAGGAAGGCGTATACTTTTTACTTTAAAAACGAAAGGCTAAGAAGAACTGAGTATTATCTATAGTATTAATAAATTTTAAATAAAATATTTGATAGGAGACTTCGTATTACGTTGAGCTTGCATAAGAAGGGGGGCGAGTAATTAAGATTTAAGTACAGCAACCAGTATTATTATTTCATTCGACACTGTGCATATCGCGAGAAAACGCAGTTGCCTATAATTAATATGTTTGCTGTTGTTACAAAAATAACGTCCTGGAATATATTCAGAACGCGCAGCGTATAATCACTCTGACCTATTATGCGCATGATGTGGAATAATTAAAAATCCAATAAAATCAATGGGGTTTTATGCAGAGTGTCCCACTTAACGTGACAACCTTAAATATCTCGATTGTTGTTGGCGATACGAAGAAATGTCAAAGAAAAATGTTTAGTTCGAAGCAGATATTACGATTTAGAAAACATTTTTATGAAGTTTACAACGCGAACATCCTTTCAAACGAGATTACGTATTTTTATCTTTGCGGTATTGTAATCGATGCTCTATGAAAACACGATACATTATGCAATAATAATAATATACTTACGAAAAATATCCTTCGAAAGCAATAGTGGGTATTTTAGTAGATTATTTGAAGATCATGTTGCATATTATTGTACTCCTCTAAACTGATAAAAATATGTAATTACATTTAAAAAAACATCGATGACTTCGAGATTTGGAAAAGCGTGACGTTGGAGGAAACGTTTTCCTAAACATTTTCTCCTTCGAATCGAGCAGTTTTATCCTTTGACATTTCTTCGTACCGTCAATACCAACAGAGATATTTAAGGTTGTCAAGTTAAGTGGGTCACCCTGTATAGTGTGCACGTTGTTGCGCTACCACTTTGAAATAAAAGACGGTATACATTGCAGTCGATACCATGGACACAAAAGTCACGGTATATTGTAATAAATTAAGTATTCAGACCAAGCAGAAAATTCAATTATAGAGACGAATAGAAAAACTTATTTGCTTCGTAAATATATAATTAGTATTTGCTTGTATATTCTTATTATTACATAAACTCTTTTTCTTTTTAGATTGACATTAGAGTTTTTCATTAGAATATTTTAGTTTATTGCAATTCAAAGTCCAACTCAAACGATATTTACTGTTTCAGATTTCATACTTAAATTACGGAATTCATAAATATTATTTGGGAGAAATTTTAATGGGAGATTCTAGGGGCCAAAATAAGACGAAAATGAAGAATACCAATTTGTTGATCGAGGCTTCGTTAAAAAGTTATTAACGTTTAAATTTCCGCCTGAGAACCACTATCACGCGTGCGCAGCTGTTTGCAGATTACCGTTCTACAGGCGGAACTTTAAACGTTAATAACTGTTTAACGAAGCCTCGATCAACAAATTGACATTCTTGATTTTCGTCTTATTTTGGTCTCTAGAATCTCCCATCAAAATTTTTATTGCTATATAGTGCAACCAATGTTCACAAATTTGGTGTTAAAAAAATTCAATTACTGGTTGGAGAGAATATACTCTTTGATATTGCACATTACTACTCCAGAATTGTTGATTTGTTTGCAACGTCGGACAGTAAATATTACAAAAGGAATTTTAAATGGGATTTCATCGGTTTACCATATTTTTAAATACCCTATTACCCACGAAGTATGTTGTATTTACATGAGATGATATTCTGTTCCAGGTAGAATATCGGACGGTGCATCGAGAAAGTACTTTGCGACATTACAAAGGAATTAGTAATGCATCGTCGATGACTGAAGTAGAAAGGGACCCGTAGTTAGCTGTTTACAAAAATAAGACACGCGTAACGTCCCGTCTGTGCCAAGTGCTATATTTGTTTAAAACATAACCGACACGTATTGTTAAGCTTTTTTTAATAATCGGACACAGTTTACGAGACAGTAAACTGGCTTCGACATCGATTGACGCGACATTTTTTATCGTCGTCCGTGACTTTTATACGAATCGTTCAACGAAATATATTTGTAACTTTCTTTATTCGTGGACGCATCGCGACCGGGGACCACTGACGTAGAATATCTGAAATTGAATTAGATAGCGCCGAGGGTGGAAGATCGATTCGCGTTAGACGCGGTTCGGTTACAAGCGCCGTGTAAAATAATGGAAGGTTTCGACAAACCGTCGAATGGGAATTACGCGCCGTGTAGGGACTTGTCGAGCGGTCGATACGAATGAGAAAAAGGGACTGAGAAGTGTACCGTTCTCCCGGAAGTATCAACGCAGAAGAATGTAATTCGCATTCGGTTGTGAAAAATAGGGATTAGAGGAAGCGCGCGTCTCCTGTTCAAAGGACCACGAGGCCACGGAATAAAAACGCAGGCGGAGGGATAGAAACGGAAAATGCTAGGGGGAACGTCGACGCGTGAAAGTAGCGAGGTGATCCGCATGGAGCCTCTAGGTAGAACCTCGAGTTCGAGGAGTCCTGGGCAAAACGGAACTGCCAACACCACCGAGGTACCGGCAAACTCAGGTAAGTTAACAATTTCAATTTGAAATTTATCTCAAAGGTATCTATTGTTTTCTCCAAGAAGAGAAATAAGAAGTTGAGTTACCATCGAAGATGTTGTCAAAAATGTATTGATGAATGTATTGACGCTTACATATATAACATTTAATTAGTGAAATATGTATGTTAAAGCAAAGCATTTGATATGATATGATATAGGTAACAAGGGATGGGGATGAGACTACGTAAATGAAATTAGTAGACTGCGGATGTTTATGCATTTATGGAAAATTTTAATTCTCAAAAAACTACAGAATGCATTTAATATGCAAAAATATAAGAAATACTTAAAGTAAGATACGAATTATTATATTTAGGGGTTGAGACATTTATTAATTCTATTAATAAAAATGTGAATTTGCATAAAGATCCGCAGTCTAGAAATTAGAATATAATTTTACATATTTACTGTGAATATGTACCAGAAATGGCGCCCAACAGTACTCGAATGTTTAACCCTTTAACGCTGATGCCCTAGTCTGACTGTTATGAAAAACGATATTTCTTTGATCTAATTGTTTAAGGGATGACAATGTTTGTTTTTCTTCAAATTATACGTCGGATACAACATTGCAATTAATGAAAATTGTATTTTTATACAGCTTGGAAACAAATCCAATAAAGAAAACTGATCATTCTTGGTTAATCTGGAAAATATGAGCGTTAAGGGGGTTGATAGTTACTTAAATTGAATAGTTGAAAGTTTTAATAGGAAGTTGACTCACCGTTTGCTTTTGTAACAGTAAGTCTGTCTTCCCTTGATTGGACCAACTCACAAGTAACGTTTCAATCTATCGATCGCCATATTTCAATGGCAATTCAATGGTATGTTTAAAAAATCATAACTCCTGAACGGATCGGAGGATTTCAATGTTTCAAAATGCAAACAACGTGTATTTTAGTCAAGAATGTGTATAAATTCCAAAAATATTCGAAAAGTTCTTGCTTGACCACGTAAAATGAAAAAAACCTCAAGAAAATGCTCCAATTTTCAAACGACCATAACTCCTTTAATAGTGAATATATTTTATTGAAATTTATTCTCGAAGTAGAGTACACAAAAGTATTAAACGACACTTTCGTAGAGCCTCAAACAAATTTATTAAAAATAAGAAACGAATTTAAAAATAAAATCGACAGAGAGTAAATGCAGAAACTTTTCGGTGAAATTAAAGAATTTCAAATCGTTCTAAAAAAATTATTTTCGGTTGTGGGGGTCAATTACAATCATTTTTGGTGAATAGACATACCCCCGAAATCCTACGCACTTTTGAGAAAAAAATTCGAGTTGGTGGACAAAGTGGACAAGATTAAAAAATTTCAAATCGTTCTGAAAAAAATATTTTTAGTTATAGGGGTCAATTACAATTATTTTTGGTCATTAGACATACCCCCGAAATCCTTCGCACTTTTGAGAACAAAATTCGAGTTGGTGGATAAAGTCGACAAAATTAAAAAATTTCAAATCGTTCTGAAAAAAATATTTTTAGCTACAGGGGTCGATTACAATCATTTTTAGTCATTAGACATATCTCCGAAATCCTATGTACTTTTGAGGAAAAAATTCGAGTTGGTGGATAAAGTCGACAAAATTAAAAAATTTCAAATCGTTCTGAAAAAAATATTTTTAGTTGTGGGGGTCGATTACAATAATTTTTGGTGAATAGACATACCCTCGAAATCCTACGCACTTTTGAGAAAAAAATTCGAATTGGTGAATAAGGTCGACAAAATTAAAAAATTTCAAATCGTTCTGGAAAAATTATTTTTATTTATAGGGGTCAATTACAATTATTTTTGGTGAATAGACATACCCCCGAAATCCAACGCATTTTTGAGAAAAAAATTCGAGTTGGTGGATAAAGTCGACAAAATTAAAAAATTTCAAATCGTTCTGAAAAAAATATTTTTAGTTGTGGGGGTCAATTACAATCATTTTTGGTCATTAGACATACCCCCGAATTCCTGCGCACTTTCGAGAAAAAAAATTCTTTAACAGAAATATAATTTGTGGCCAGAAATGTTTCCCCGAATTCGTGTGAATATTTAAAAAATTATAACTTCCGGTAAGGTCTACTCGTATACTTCGTCTGTGGTACTGCTCTCTGTCCGCCATTGCTTAGCTGTACCTAGGTCGGTAAATTATCTACTAAAGAAGGCGCTAGGATCGTAGGATATTGTAATTTTTCACCTGTTATCGTTTTATTATTAGATTAAGAGGTTAAGTATTGCATCGAACACGTGCTTCTCCAAGAATAATTTATCATTGATTGCCTGTTTGTATAATTTATCATGATTTAAGAAGTTTATTTCAATTCTATCGAATTCCATCAGAAGACATTCATCGTTTTGTACTTATTGTTAGTCCCGCCATTTTGAATGCTTTGTCCCCGAACACGTGTCTTCAGTTTTTTTCAGATTTTGAGACAAAAGTTCCTATCCCGTTACATTCCTCGTACAGATTTAGATTGACCCATAAGTTCTACTCGTTTTCTCGTTTTATTTTGGGGGTACAATTTGTATAAATATAACAAAATCAATGAAGTATATACCTTCGATTCTCTTCCACAACTATGCAAGTTCTAAGGTCGTTCTTTCGTTTCGTTGGCTCCATGGTGAAATAGACATTTCGCCCTTGTTTAAATCCCCATTTAGCAGAGTTGAAAGAAACTATAGTTCCACAAAAGACTGTTTTCACACGGTTCCTTTTTACATATCAACAAAAACTTTTGGTTGCTTGTTGAGGTTTGCAGTAACACGTGTTTACTCATGAGATGAACTTTTTCTTGGAGACTCCATAACTCGAAAACTAAGGTGTACGTAGGACATGCGGTCGTATGACATTTTTCTCTTATTTTAGTGTGTAGATCCTCCCTCTGAAGTGTGATCGTATATTCCTGAGTCTCTTCATGTATAGGGCGTACCAAAATTATATGTCACGACCATCACGAGTGTGATTTTTTATTTCTATATCGGTGGAGATGTAGCTCTCTTAAAAAAATTATATTAAAGTTTTATTAATTTATAAATTTACATTTCTCACATTTTAAAGAAGAAACTGGATAGTTAAGGTCGACTCTGTAATAGTACTCGTGTCTACAAGCGTCAGACTTACAAATTGAGAACATTCTTTTTTTAAATAATTGCTTGCTTTTAATTTTATCTTAACTGAAAATTCAATGCCCCTTAATAAACGTGCTTGTGTTGGTTCTACATGAGAACCAACGTTCGTTAAATACACTTGTACTCTCATTTTTAAATTGTTCCATATTTCATCCAAAAGTCCAGGATTTAATTTCATTCTTTGAATCTCAGTTTCTTTAAAATGTGATAAATGTACATTTATAAATTAATGAAGCTTTAATATAATTTTTCAAGAGAATGATATGGTTCAGTATATGATTTCTATGTTATGAATCATAATTTGTAGAATATGATAAAATCATAGAAAAAGTTTGATTACGAAAAATTAGGCAGAATTGTTGATAGATCTCCAACGATCCAGAGATGTAGAATCACACTGTGGTGGTCGTGACATATAATTCTGGTACACCATCTACATTTATTTCCGACCAACGTTTCCCAGCGCTACAAAAATAATACCGAGGACGCCATGTTTATAAAAAGAATGTTTTCACTGCTCTTTTCACGGATATCCACCAGAGATCAATCTTATATTAACCTAACTATAGTCGCGTGAAGCGAAACAAGAGGGTAGTCAGAGGGTGGAGCAAACAGGGCACTTGCCCTCTCCCAGCTATTTATAAATGGTCGAAAAGTGTGATAAAAGAACGAGAACAACTATTATACATTTACCCTTTCCAAACAAAATTTTTTTTTGTTGATACAATCGGTTTAATTTAGCTACAAATTAATTAAAATATTCTTTTTACAAAATCCATACGTGGAAAAGTTATGTCACCTTTTTCGGTGAACCAGTATTCTCATATTCATCGCGTTAAAAATTTGTATTTTAATGTCACAAACAGTTCGCAAAAATTCACGATCGGATTATGGCGACGTTGATAGTGATTAATATGCTGCACCATTCTTTTTCAGATGCTTCAAGCGTCCAGAATCTTGACAACACCATAACAATGTTTTTTGCGGAAGATCGATTTCGACGGCAAATAAAATTAATATTTTTCTTTGTCATCCTTATGTTATTTTACTCTTCGAAAAAAACGAGTCTTTATAACGAGTCTTATTTATGAATTTGAATACAAAAATTATTACTGGACCTGATAATTTCTTTTGAAAATCATTAGTCACTTTTTTCAAATTCGAGTCAACGCGAAACATTTGATTTTCTTATAAACGCTTTTGTGCATATAAAATCGTTAAACATACTCACTTTTTCCATTATGTAGTTTACTATACGTAGCATACGTGTAATCCACGAGGAGAATTATGTTCGCCAATTTTTACGGATGGCATAAAATCCCGAAGTATTAGAATAACTTTTATCGAAAAGCAGATAGCCATTTAAGGCAGAAACAAACCTACGTTGAAAAGGTCAGAAGTTCAAAAGTTCAGACGTTTATAAATGCTCCTGTTCTATCCAGATTGTCAGAATCGAAATTAGTATCTGTTGAAATATCGCGTAAACTTGACCAATCCGGAACTATTTTCATGGCTACTTTACTTGATGAGAAAAATTAATATTAATGCGCATGTAAGATAACGTACGAGGTTATTCCAGAAACTGGAACATTCCTTTCTAAACGAAAATACAAACGCTTGATATACCAAAGAGTCGAAACACGCAAAAGGGATTATTTTTGGATAATTTTTAATCTTTTTATGTGTAATGGTTCGTAACTTGCACTTACATTGTGAATGGAACTATGCAGTCTTTTCATATATGTAATCCTAGCTTTCTTCTCATTCTATTAGGTCCACTGTTTTTACAGGAAGTGATTTATTCAATCAGTGACATAATCTCCACGAGTTTTTAACACTAT